TGCTCTATCTCGAAATCGCCTCGAGGAGACGTGCAAAATCGCCCACGAGGAACTCGCGAGGTCGGGAGCTCGTTACGCTCGGTACTACAACCGGAAAACCAAGGAGCGAAGTTTCTAGCCAGGAGAGAAGGTGCTCCTACTGCTCCCCACGAACAACAACAAACTTCTGCTGCAGTGGAAGGGGCCTTTCCTCGTTACGAGAAAAACAGGGGAGGTCGACTACGAGATCCAGACAACGACCGGCCTGAAATTGTTCCACGCTAACCTACTAAAGAAATACAAGGAGCAGGGAATCGAGAAGGAAGACAAGCGACAGGCCTGCGCGGTTCTCTCGCTGACGGAAACCGAAGACGATCAGCCGATCCCTCTACCAGCATTCCAGAGAGAGGAAGGCCCCCGAAGACGTGAGAGTTTCATCGAAGCTTAGTGCTGAGCAAAAGTCGCAGCTCGACCGTGTAATGCGCAGCCACCTCTCCGACGTTCCGGAAAAAACCCCATGGATACAGTGCGAGCTGAGACTACAGATACCCCCATCTATGTGCAGCAATACCCACTGCCATTTGCGACCCACACGAAGGTTGAGGAAGAGGTGCAGGAAATGCTCAGGCTCGGAATAGAAAAATCCAGCTCTGCGTGCAACGCACCCGTCCTGCTCATCAAGAAGCCGGACGAGACAAATCGGCTGTGCGTCGATTTCAGACGTCTAAACGGCGTCTAAGTTCCAGACTCCGAACCCATGCCATGAGTCGACGCCGTTTTCGCCGTTGTCAGAAACAAACGCTACTTCTCAAAGATGGATTTCGTGAAGGGTTACTGGCAGATCCCACTCAGCGACGATTCCCAGCCCAAGACTGCATTTTCGACGACTTCGGGACTGTACCATTTTCGGTACATGCCATTTGGGGTCAAGACCGCTCCGGCGGTATTGACCGAACTGATGCGGAAGGTGGTGGATGGAATCCCAGACGTGGCGCATTACTACGACGATGTGTTGGTGGCTAACGACAGCTGGAAACAACACCTCACTGCACTGCAGACGCTGTTCGGCCGTATCCAAGCGGCGGGACTAACCATTCGCCCAACCAAGTGCGAGTTTGGGATGGAACAAATTGACTTTCTGGGTCACCGCATTGGAAAGGGGCAGCTCGCCCCCCTCGGAAAGACGCCCGACAAAATCGAGAAGGCGAGTGTGCCGACCACCAAGCGACAGGTGCGGGCATTGCTCGGACTGACGGGATGCTACCGGGATTTTATTCCCGACTACGCAAAGATCAGTGGGCCGCTAACGGACCTCACGAAGAAAAAGGAAAGGAACCAGGTTGAGTGGAGGACCGCTGATCAGTCGTCGTTCGAAGAGCTGAAAGAATGGATTGCTAATCCGCCGATCCTGAGACTCCCCGATTTCGGAAAAGACTTCGTCCTCCAGGTCCTCCAGACCGATGCTTCCGACACAAGTCTCGGAGCTATGTTAATGCAGCAGCATGATAGCCGCTTACGTTCTGTGGCTTACGCGAGCCGGAAGCTGCTTGCTCGTGAGGCCGCCTACAGCACCATCGAAAGGGAGTGCTTGGCATTGGTCTGGGGGGTGCAGAAATTCAGTCCATACCTTTACGGTAGGAAATTCCTCGCACAAACCGACCACCAGCCGCTGAAGTGCATAAATCAGGCGAAGCATCTGAACAGTAGAGTGCTGAGGTGGAGCCTCCTTTTGCAGGGATTTCCTTTCACAACCAAACATATCAAGGGCAGCGAAAATGTGGGTGCTGATTTCCTAAGCAGCTTTTAAGTCCGCCTCACTAGTTAGGCTTTGTTTTTCTCTATTAAGCCAGTATATGTATGTTGTGTTTACTCCGTATTTTGTTTGTATCCTCCGAATATGAAAACTTCTCACTGTTGGAATGTGCACGACTATAATCTCACACGGAGCGCAGTTTGGTTTGCTTAGTATATGTACTCTTGATTTTTTTTTGTACACGTTATTGTTCGCCAAGTGTTTGTGAAGAGTTAGTTTAAATATTCACGGGTGAACCTTCTTAAGTGAGAGGCAGTGTCACAAAATCCAGCTATGCTACATTATTCATGTCACAAAATCCGGCTGTGTTACGTTATCCATTCCCCCGGGTTGGACGCGTCCTTCCAAGAAATTCGCGGGGTGTGAGGGCTGGGAGCCAGCTTCCACGAAAACAAAGCGATGCTGCCTTTGGGGAAGGGTGAAGGGACGAGCGGGCCAGCGTCCTGGGTTTGGTTTCTTTTTGGTATGTTTTCCACGACTGCGTGCTGGGATGCGGGGGCCCGTCGAGGGGGACCCTTTGGGGCAAAGGCGGGCAGTGTGAGCGGGAAACTCGGAAGCAACAGATGGGGAATCGAAGCGTCAAGTTCGTGGATCTCTACGGTAGCGGGCCAGGTCCGGACTGGGGAAGACTTCGACGACGAAGTGTGTGTGCGTGTGATTGTGCGGCCGCTTCAGGCCGCCCAACCCACCGTGGTACCACCGGGACCATTCCTTCCCCCTTCGGACAGCGCCTCGCAAGACCGTCACTCCCGGACACTGTGAGACGAGATTTCCCCTCCACTCGCATTTTTCTTTATAGTAATTAAGGTAGCGGTATTTCCGTAGTTGGTTTTTATTCTCACGGGTGTCCGATTGTATTATTTGACCACATTTAAGCTCCGAATTTGTTTTTCTTTTTTTCCATGTTCGGGGAAGCTCTCGCGTAAGAGATGGTTAATGCATTGTGCTAAGCTGTAGACTTTGGTTTTTGACTAATTCGTAGTGTATTAAGTGTTTTTATCTTTGCCGCCCGTGCACAGGCTGGGTAAAGTGCATTCGAATCCTGTTGTTTTCGCTGTTCGGCAGATTTTATTTTTTTGTTTGTTTGTAGTATTAAAACTTGTTTTGTTGCAAGGCTGTGGGTCTCCCCTTCATTGGCAAGACTCCACCGAGGCGTGGACCTATCGCCTGGTCGGCAGTGCGTTGTGTTTAAGCAGAGAATACCAGCAAAACCTGTGACATGGTGCCGGTGCACCGTAGTGTCAGTTGTGACTCCGCCAGGGCAGCCTTTCACGAAGCGCCGGCGTGACACGGCCCCTCTTGTCACTCACAAAAGTTCGCTGCACGTCCCCTTCGACCTCACACCGTTTCAAAGAATTTGAGATCGCTGAAAAAGCCCTCAAAGAACTTCAAACTCAAAAGTGAAGCGTCGTCTGCTCACAGCGATAGGTGGCACGCCTGGATAAGCGTGGTCGATCGCGGGACGCGGGAGACCACGACACTTCGGGCTGGGGTCGGAAATCCGGAGGAGGGAGAGAAACTCAAGTTACAGCCCGACTCAAACTTTGATGTCACTGCACTGGCGCGAGTCGCGCGGGAACTTCAGATTTCACGTTTGGAAATTGCTTTTTTACTTCACAAATAACGAGTTTCCAAACTTTGAATTTTGAGGGTAATGTAAAGGCATCTTTTTCAATCGTTTCGGATAATAAAAAAAATATAAAATTTTAACCTGTCAGTGCCCCTTTAAGCTGCAAAAAAAAATCACTCTACTTAGGCGCAGGGACATTCTAGAGAATGGGATGAGGACGATTCATCACGTGCGCACTCATCACAGGACAAGTGATCACAGGACGATTCGCCACATAGGAACATTCGTGACAGGATGACTTGTCACGCGGGCAATTGGTCTCATCGAGTGCGCAGGGGACGATAGAAAAATGTAAATTTCCACAAATGCCCACATTCCGTGATGAGGAGTTTCACGACTTCCTGCTGTGACATAAACCAATGGGTAGAAGAGAAAATCTTACAATACTCAACATGGGAAAGTTTTTGGCACTCAACCACTTTTTTTTTCATGATGTGATGAGTCTTCAGCAGGTTGATCTCAGTTGGGTCCCCAGCGTGCCTTTGCTAGCTTGAATGAGCAATTATCCGACTGGCAGCCAAATCAGTTATTACTTTCGCCTTGCATATACTTCTTCTGTAACAAATCCAATAACAAGTATCCTATATCTTTTCTGCTGCATGTGTACGAAAACCCCTCAAGAAAAAGCAGAGCTCTCTATTGCGATCACCTCCATCCTTTCGAATGCAGTCCCGAGTTCAAAAAAGTTGTCGCTCTTATATGGCCTCCGCATTCACCGTTGGGGACGGAACCAGAAGCTAAAACGTTTGCTACAAATTCTTCACCCTTGAGAAGCGAAAGACATGCTAAGGTAAGAGGTGACCCACTTTGTCCGGCCGAACCAACATTCGTTGTTCGGGAACAAACCAGACACTAAAACGTTTGTCACAAATTTTTCGTCATTGAGAAGTGAAAGACACGCTAGGATGATAATGCAATTATTGCAAAGGTGCAAGCGAGCTGGAAAAGAATGACGATAATAATCCCCTTCTCCAGGGCTTATTACCGTCTAAGATAAGAGGGGACCCACTTTGTAAACCAAACCAAATAGAACAATAATATTTTCTTGGGGACGAACTATTGTGAGACCAGTTGCTTACGTGACGAGTCATCCTATGACGAATGTTCCTGCGTGATAAATCGTCCTGTGACCAATTGTCCGGTGACGAGAGTGCATGCGACGAATGGACCGTATCCCCTAGAGAATATGGGACCTTGGGGACCCAGCTAGGGGACCACGGGAAACCCTTGGGTCCCTAGGAACCGGGGACGGTTTGCCGATCGATGCAGCTATCTCTCCCAGCGACCACAATTTGCTGCGAGAGGCATTTCCTGGTCAAGTGACCGGCTCTGAGGGCTGGAAGTACTTGGCATTCCAACGCAGACTCCGCTCGAAAGACGTAAGCCTTGCCCGTCATTTTCTTTGAATCTCACTTACCCAGAAGTAAATTTACATGCCAGGAATAACATTTCATGCAGTCAATTCGCACTTGTTCGCAGTTTAATCAATAGAGCCGACTGATCAGTCGGCTAACCAGTTTATCAATCAGTAATCGACAAACCAATTTAAAATCAAGTCGGTATGGTGAGTTCACTTACTTTCTCCCGTCATCACTGCCTGCGTGTAACGGGATGGGAGCATGCTTGTGTAGCCGTAAAAACTTGACTGCTGCACTGCAATCCAAACGTTACAGATGTTTGAGTCAATCTGCTTTTCCTCAGAGGCACAGTGTGACAAAGTAGGGCGGCCCTCAAGGGGACCGTGCAAACAAGTACAATCTAAAAGAAATTACATATACACCGTAAGAACTTAAAACGAAACCTTTTGGAAGCCTCGGAAAAGAAGTCAAAGGTTCGCTGGCATGTTCGTGTGAAAATCAGTCCAACTGGAGCGACATTATGCAGCTGGCCTGTAATCTGGCTGCAGATAAGCTGGCTGGAAGTGAGACTTAATCCCGCTGGAAATAAGATTGAATCCAGACTGATTTTCACTTAAGGGGCTCAGCTGCAAAGGCAAAGAGTCGGCTGGCGCTCTGAAACTTACGACGAGTTTCTTTTCATGGAGGTAGTGAAAGACCATCTTCAAATATCTCTACGATCTTTTTGAATACAACGTAAGAGGCCCATATTATAGCGTCAGTTTGGAAGGTCCTTAATCCTTTGGCGGTCCTCGCCGTAAATGTATGGCGGCGATTGTGCGTTTGGAATTGCCAGTCTAAACACGAAATAGCATGCACTGCGGGAGGTGCTGCTATTTGTTACGTGTCTGATGAACTTTAAACGTTACATTCGCACGGTGTTTCGTTTTGCCGGGGCCATTTATAGTTTTGAAATTAGACGCTCTGCGCATGCGATACGTGCAAGATGGTCGCTTCGCACGTCGGCTGCTCTGGTGGTGGTGGTAATTGGAGCGCCGACTCTTCCGACTCTGACATTTAACACTTTTCAAAGTTTAATTTGGAAGATAGGACCTTACCGTCTGACAGAGAAACTCTGTAAAGTACCTCTGGTTCAAAGCCTGAAATCGTCACAATGCTGCAGAATGCACCAAAATAAAACCGAATTGAAAAAAAAAAAGTGAGAACTTTTCACCTTCAAAATTACCATTTCATGCTTCTGATCCTCAACAGCTTGCCAGCATCGAACGTGTTGTTGCAGTCGCTGCGGGTCGTCACAGTAATCGTTCCATGGTCACACAACGAGCAACACTTTAATATTTACACCGCTGAGAATAATACATCGACATTCGAAAGCTTGCAAGGTCAAAACGTTCAATCGTTCACGTTCATCGTCGTCGTCGTCGTTCTTCTTTTTCTTTTTTCCGCTTTTCGTACGCACGTGCCGGGGCAGCTTAGCAGACTTCTTTCTTTTCTGCTTCTACTCCCTGTTCGTCTAACGCCAACAGAAGTTTATCCGACGTTAGTTGCAACACGTGTTCCCTCTAGCTCATTGAGTAAAAAACCTGCGCATTGACCCTTTCTTTATAGCATTCCCCTAGAAACGAAACCACTAAGGACAGACACTGTATGGTTGGGTTCTCTCACTGCCAGTCTGACTTACTGCCCATCTCCACTATGTCCGGCCCACCTCTATATTTTGCTTTTGCCGGACGAGACGATGTTAATTTTGAAAATGTATGACGCCCCAGAATTTTGCGCTTGGCAGGGTTTGGGGTGCTACGCCACAGAACTGCATAACCCCTGCAAACAAAATCGCCGCTGTGCGGTCAAGAAAGTGCCATGGAGCACCAAAGTTGCGGCAATCACCCCCCTTTTCCTGACACCCTGGAAATTGTTGGATGTCCGCATCTCAAATATTTCTGGGGAGAACCGTGCTGTATGGAACGAAACAAGCGTGGCAAACAAGCATTTTTTGCCCCTGGAAACTGTACTGGGATGTAAAAAAATAAAATGAAGTAGGTGAATTAACATTTTGTGCGTACGCGAGCACCACAACCAATCTGTACATCAGTCAGCTCAACGCAGAAATTATGTGTATTTGTATTCCGTAACACTTTTGAACATGTTAAGCAAAGACATACACAACAATCGCGGGAAAGCCCCATCCATTTCGTGCATCCGAGTCCGGCATCACGATAAATCAGAGGTTAGAAACAACAAATCGGAGGAATGCATTCCGACGATACATTGTCCCACGTCTTGCCACGACGCTGACCAGAACAGCGGGCCACATCTGTTGCCGTCTGCCAAGTCGTGCAAACAGGAAGTAAAGTATTAGAGAAATCGCAAGTAGCGCTGCGGTGTCTCGAACGCGTCTGCCGCACACTCGAAAGTACCGTAGTCGTTCGATTTCTGCCCGACAACACCGCGGAAGCGTCCCGCCGCCGCTCGTCCGGAACCTAGCGGTGCGACGGCAGCAAGGGCGGAGGCAGCAGACCCCACTCTGCCGCAGGTGGCTTTCCAGCTCAACGTTTCTGGGAAGCTTCAACGGTCGGGAACGCCACTCGCTCGTGCTTTCTGCCAGGACTTCCGGCACCGACCTCCGGGATCACGATATTCAACAGCGCGATAAGCCAGCTCTCGCGAGATTGTTTCTTGCTGATCCGGGACCACTCTCGACGCAAGTGCAGTACGGGATGCCAAAGAATACGCACCGGTGCATCCCAGAGCCACGACAGCGACGGCCACGAGGTTTGCCCTGTACCCGGAGTCGTGTTCGAATGCGTCCCAGTAGACCTCGAAGAGGGCCACGAACAGCAGCGTGCCGAAGGACAGGAGGTAGCCGAACGTGATGCGGACCTGGAGGGGAAGCGTCTCCACCAGGAGGTTGTTGACCACCACCGCAAAAAAAGCCATCAGGATGTAGACCTGGGTGACAACGACGAGGATCGGGGTGTAACCGGGGGGAGTGTGATCGCCCTTCGAAGTGTCGTCTCCGTTTCTCCTTCTTGCACACGCCGTCAAAACATGCAATTGGATGTCCCACGACGAGGCGTGGAGTCGGGCCGGACAGTTTGGCACAGCCCGAGCAAAAACGTTGCGGAGAAAACTGGACTCTGGAAGATGAGGGCACACAAACACGGTGCTGACCGGCAACTGAAAATTTTAACCCCTGCACGAAAACAGCAAGTAAACAAGAGACGGGAAAGATGGGAAGGAAACAATAGATCCGATAGAACATGCCAACGCGGGCTCACACAAACTTGCAGCACCTCTCGATAAAATCTACCCCGTCACTGGCTTCCAATCAGCACCACATTTGTGTGCTCCTTCATCTCATCCTCCGTTTTTAAGGGGCGAAGCTCCCTAGGGTTAATTGCCATCCCCATCTGTCTTCTTAAAAAAATAAAAAATGTTTGCGCAGTCGACAGGATTCGAACCTGCGCGGGGAGATCCCAATGGATTTCTAGTCCAGCGCCTTAACCACTCGGCCACGACTGCAGGACGAGTAGGGGACTCTGAGATGTGGTAGTAACTCAAGAGCTGGGGATGTCATGAATGAAATGTTGCATGTAGCCGCTCAACATCTATACAGGAGAGGGCGCTGTGGTCAAGTGCGTATATAATCACGTTAAACTTTGCGTGCATTGACTCAACGTTTACCGACAAGAGGGCACTGCGGTCAAATGCTCAAATGTGTATGCACCATCAGCACTACCTATAAACAAAATCAGTATCATAGCGCCACCAGAGCTTCGCCCCAATCAACATCATTCACCACGTGGAGATGCAGTCATTTTTTTTTAGCCGTTTTTCACTCAAACGATGGATATCCTACTACATTTACAATGTCACTCCTTTCCTCACATCTTCTTCCAAAGAACTCTTCTGCTTTGATAAGAGTCCTTGTTCTGAGCCTGATGCGAGTATGTTAAGAAGTCGCAGGGGAATACAATGCACTCGAACACACTAAAACGTAAATGTGTAAACCAGACTTTATAGGCCGGAAAACACTGTAACAAAATTGCTGGTTCATTGCCAATCCCTGCAAACGAACTGCGGCAATCACCGAGGTGCTGCACAATCTGCTGCATACAGCTACGCTGCCGCATGTAAATTTAGTGGACTTACATTCCACTAAATTTGGCGGACACAGTCCATGCAGCACCGTTGGATCACATGACACCATGACGCCGTGCCGTCAGTCACGTGACTTGATCATGTGACACCACGACATCACACTGTCGCATGACACCATGATGACACCGGCGTGATCACGTGATACCATAACACAGATGACACCATGACCTCAGGTGACACTGTGACGTGCCGTGACAGCAGATTTCTGCTACATTCTGTGGAGGTATCGTTCCATCTCTCGAACATGTTGCTGCGATTCCCTGCCAGACATATCGAATAACTTTTGCAGCCAAATGTAGTGGAAGAAATTTCCCGACACATTTCCCGCTAAATTTAGCAGGAAATCGCATTGCGATGTCACAAGTGACTCCCTGTCAAACTCAGTGAAGAAATGTTTCCGCTAAATATAGCGGGTTACTCAGTGATGTGATTGGCCTCAGCCATTTTGGAGCACCTTTCGAAGCAGTCAAAACAGTGTTTGGGAGCAACAAATGTGGCATCTGGAGCAACCAAGACAGTGTTTTGGAGCAGCAAAAGTGGCTTTAGGAGCAGCCAAGACAGTGTTTCGGAGCAGTAAAAGTGGCTTTTAGAACAGAAACTTTTATAAAAATAAAAATATTTGTTTTAAGTGCTGTACAAATAAGAGCACTTTGTGTTGTGTTGTGTTTTGATGTGACATGTTGTGTCCCACAAGTGTGCAGTGCTGTGGGCATTGCCGAGCAATTCCGAAAAAAAATGCTTGCTACCGTTTTACTGGTTCCCGACATGCCAGATCTTTCGTCAAAAGTAAGCAAACGTAATGCAATAGATTGCAAGCGTCCCGGCTGGTGCCTTTGTCGTGTAATCATGTTCGCATGCACGTGAGGGCAACTTCAGCTGGCTTGCAGTTGCACGTTCTTCGTCGTGCGAGCGGAGAAAGCGGCTGTTCGATTGAAAACAAAACCATGCCACTCCGCTCTGTCGCCAACTGATTCCCATGCAAAATGTAACTGTCGAGCATACGACACAAAACAGTCCAGCGGTGCTTGCTTGCCAGGCCGGCAGACAAGGTACAAGCCCCCCCCCCATATTTTGGCAAAATGTAGCAGGATGTAGCAGGGTTAGCCCCTTGGCAGTTTGGCGCAATTGGCGCAGCAATCACATCACTGGGTTGCGGCATACACGAAACACGCGGGGATCTACTGCTAAGCCTCGCCAATAACGGCCATTGCCACGAGCATGAACGTTGGTCCTCTCACAAGGCTCATGTCGAAGACGATGGTGGTGCCAGGGTACTTGGCCTGAAAGTAGTCCACTGCAATGATGAAGCTGTTGTAGGGCAGCAGGAACCCGACACCAGCCAGCACCAGAGCCAGGTAGATGCAGTGGCAGCGGTCCTCGGGTGGCTCCCCCTGGTGGACACCGCCACCGACGCCAGCCGACACGCGGCGGCGTCTCGCAGCGACCCTGTCCACCCAGGACTGCTGCGATTGGCCCAGCTGGACGTAGCCCCGGCTGAGGTTCTCGTCCATGGCTTCGGATCGGATCTTTCTGCGGCTTTGGTGCGAGACGGGTATGGATACAGGTTAGGTTCAGTTCCAACGTTACTAGAGCAACTCAGTTGGAAAACTGTCATAGAGCCTGCTTCGAAAAAGTGGCTTCGAAAAAGTGGATCCGTACTCACAATGCTACCATTTCTCCCGCAACTGCGACCACTCCGGCAACTGCACGTATTGGTTTCGGTCAAGTCGCGCAAGAGCCGGTGGCACCATCTTGCAGCACCATTTCGCAAAAGCAATATAAATGAACTTTCATGTTTTGACTCGACGCTAAAGGGTGGCGCTGTTATGGTATTTAGTTTGGTCTCGGTGGATGCGAGCAAACCGGGTTTCAAGGGTGAGTTTCCCAACCGACTGTTTTAGTAACGTTGGTGCATTCTAATGTTACTGCATCGTGTACACCAACGCTTCGATGACACTTTGGACAGTCCACCATAAATCGGTTTCTCGACGTACTGCGCCGGTATTTGCAAGAGAGGTGCCTGAAGGTGGTGCACTCATTAATTGAGTGTGAATACATGAAACCTCCAGAGTCAAAAGAAAGAAAATAGAAACTGGTTTTGTCTATAAAAAAATTGTCGCCAAGCCTTTTTTTCTTAAAGTCATCCAAAAAATCGTCCTGGACTATTCTGGCATTCGTTACAGCCGAAAAATGTGTGAAATGGAAAGAAAATACAATTGGCTTACCTATTCCTCATTTGATTTGGCCCAAATGAGTGCCACAGTGACACAAAATAGTATTTAAAGGGGCCCTGCAAGGACCTTTTTACTGGTCTTTAATTTGCGCCGAACCTAAGCGCACTGAACGCAGTAACTTGGTGAAACATTTCTTTTTTCGAAATTCGCTTTATTTTAAAAGTTATACAAACCGCAAGACAAAGCTTCTCGCCGAAGGCCTTTGGAACGCTCTGAGCCGGTCGGATCCTCCTGTCAATACGACCGCAGCACCGCAGCATTCATCCGAGACCTTTCCGTGTCGGCGCCTGATCCCACTATTCCTCCTTTCTAGTATGCGCCGCCTTTTCCACCGCTTGGTGGCGGGTATGTCGACGGGTCATTTCTTGTTTCCATACTTTATAAACTGCATTCGTTTATTCTCTGATCTAAAATACTGAACAAAAACTACTCTTATAAATAATTGAAACAGTTCGCGCCACTTATATTTTGTATTTCGACCAAAAAGAAGCTTTTAGCGGCTCTGACCAGTAGTAAGCCCAAGACCAAATACGTCACATTTTGCGCGCCTTCGGTACCGCGGGTCGCCCTCGTCGGTGAAGGAGGTTTCCGCGTCGTCCAGTTAAAATATGACGCACTGATATTTAGTTACTCTTTCCGTGCCCGCTGGCCCGAACCCCAAGAGACGTGGAAACCGCAAAAAAGGTAGACGCTTAAATAAGATTGCAGGGCCCCTTTAAGTGTACACACAACGTATAGAAAAAACATAATCCGACTATTCGTGATTTACTCGGGTGATCCAGTCTTTCCACATTTTTAGCGAAAGCTCCCACCACCTTTGGGAACCTCCGTGGACCGTCCAGAGTGGGATCGAGGCATTAGTCTACACGCTGTAGACCAAAGCCAGTTTGACAAGCTTCCTAGAGGCGCCTTTTCGTGGTGTGTCAGTTTGACGGCATTCGCTACGCTATCAGCCCGCCCCACAAAAAAGTAAGGGCAGAACTAGTGAAACATTGGATGCACATTATCTGCAGTGAAAAGCAATTTCTATGGCAAAGAACGGCCCTTCTCCGCTGACCACAGGAGGTGTGGCCGCCAATAGCACAAGGAATGCTATCCGCTGGTACCTGCTCGCATGCAGGCAACAGAGAAGAACTGTTTTCAAATGTTGCCCTTCCGTGGAGCTTGTCAACTGACAGACCTAAGAACGTTGATGCGTTCGCTGGACGGGGTCGCTCTCTTCAATCCACGAGTCAGGAAACTGATAATTGAGTACTGTAATATCACGAGAGATAGCCCGCCCAAAATCGAGAGAAAATCAGGCGAAAATAAAGAGTGAGCTAACTTTCAATCTGCAATGAAGAAAAGTTGGAAAAAAATTAGATTATGTGTTTCTGCTAAACTTGTTATCGCTGCGAGGGGCAATAAAGCAAAGACAACCATACTTCCCAGTCGGCAATGTTCGATTATATCCTGCCATAGCTAACTAGACGCACTTACGCCGAAATCATTGTTGACCCCAAAACTATGATTGCAAAAAGTGGGGTATCTTTTGGCGTTTAAAATAGCTAATCAAGCCAAAAACCGGGGTGGGTTACCGTTGGGCATGGGGCATCTCTTGGGAATTTACGGTAGTGAACTTATGCTCACTATATCCACTGACACGATCAGAACGGCAAGGAGGAGCTTCCATTGTCCCGCCCCCCACACGAGTTTCGTACTTTTGACAACGCTTCGGCGTGTCGCAAGCTTTGAACAGGCCCGCGCTGGAGGCCAGATGTGCGAGAGAGAGGCCCTGCCGTTATCATCTTGTTGGCGACTCTTGCGACACCCAAAAAGCATCTACCACAGCAAAAATGTAAGGCCATACAATGCAATAACAGATGACCTTGTGCATTTTCAATTAATATTTATAAATCGAAGTTTCAACAATGGTTTATGCAACGCTGCTGCATTGGGTAATGACCCCAGGGACCGCGCCCTTAATATCGGAGGCATGCCGTTTCGACAGCTTGTCTTTTCACCACTCATGGCGAATGATTGAGGTAACGTGAATGGTCAAGTTTCTGCTCCGGAGTGCGAGAGTTTGGCACTCCGTTCACTAAACGAACAGCAGTGCCACTGACGCTCGAACGCGCTCTTCGTGCACCAAGTATTTCTCGGAGCGCGAGTGACTTCTTTGAGCTCCGTGACGTCACATCCATAAAGAAGATGGCTACGCTGTTGTCGAGACCATCGAGACAAAAGGCCTAGCCGGACCGCTGCCCCTTTTCAGTTGACTAGTCTTAATCCAGCAGGTAAAAAGGATTTGATCTGAAACCCAAGACAGCAATTAGCGTTCCGGAAAAGGTTTGTTCCGTGCACCTCGCCTTTAAACGAATTCAACAATCAAGTGGTAGCATGCCGATAGCACAGCAAGAGAAAAGTTGTCGAGATGAGGAGACATTCGGACCGCTGCCCCTTTATAATGCTCAGCTCAGCAAATAAAGATATTTCGATTGGAAAGCCGAAACATCAGTTAGCGTTGCAGAAAAGGTTTTGTTCATGCGTCTTGCCTGAAAACAAATTGATTTATCAAACGAGCGTGCCAATAGCTCAGCAACAAAAAAGTTGTGATGAAAAGACAGTCATACCGCCGCCCTTTTTAAAATGCTTAGCCCAGCTGCAGCGAATAAGGACGATAGAGATACTTCGATTGGAAAGCCGAAACATCAGTTAGCATTGCGGGAAAGGTTTGTTCATGCATCTCGCCTGAAAACGAGTTGATCTATCGAACGGTAGCATGACGACACCACAGTGACAGAAAAGTTGAGATGAGAAGACAGTTGGACCGCTGTCCTTTTTAGAATGCTTAGCCCAGCGAATCAAGACACTTTGATTGGAAACCTAAAACATCAGGTAGTGTTACAAAGAAAGGTTTGTTCATCATCTCACCTGAAGACAAAATGACGTGCTATCTTTTGAATGACTGTGTGCCGGTATCAGCGTAGCTCCTATCTCGCGCTGCGAGACGGAACCGTAAAATATCTGACAAGTTTCAGGGTTTCCTGCGTCGACGAGAGGGTTCTAGAATGTTGTCCTTAATTTAAATCTGAGCAGCATGCATGGTCAATAAATAGATTGGCCAAGGTAACTTCCCACATATGCGCTCGATGCGAGTCCTCAAACCTTTTAGGAATATTAAAACGTCTGTAGAAACTTCATCACGTCGCTATCTCTTTTATTATACACGCTGCCGTTCCACACGGACCTAACTAATTTATCTTCGAAATAATATTGGCTTCTGCCAATTGTATCCAGGAGATGCCGGGCTCATCATAACCATGCAATCAGAAGGAGCTCGTGTGGCTCATCGATAGTTTCGGTGTGTCGCACCCCTGTACACCATGCACCGTTTAGTAGCTGCGCTCGAAGCAGGAGTAAAGGAGCGCGAACTTAACGCGCCCATTGGCTCGTGGTGTGCGAGCACTAAACTAAATCGGCGAGTGTGCACATGCGAATGTGCAATCGGAAACGTGTGCACTTACACACACTATTTTAAAAAACATTTTCAGCAAGGTGTAAAGTTGAGGAAGTACCATGTGGAGAAGACTGATCATGAACTCTGCACAGAGCAAGTCGTCTGCTTCTTGCGCAGGAGCTGCTGTGACGTCAGAACGACGCCGAGCTCCAATTGGCTTTGATTACAAGGATAGTGGGTAGACCTCAATGCTAGATGCCTAGAGGTCTACCCACTATTGTTTTCAGTCAGCCAATAAGAGCTTGGCGTTCTGACATCATCGCAACCGTTAAGCAAGAAGCAGATGAACCTGCGCTCCGCATAACCTTTTTTTGCTTTATGCAGATATTCACAAATACATTGCAACTGTTACTGATAAAACTTTTTTTTCTTTCTTGGAAAATGGAGGTTTAAATTTAAAATACAGGCAGCTTGTAACAGTCACTTCAGCATCAGTGAACAATTGATTGCACTGGCTACCAAAAACCGAACCATACAACATGCTGGGCCACGATACCAGTGGCTGCCGTGTTCGAAGTATAACCTTACCTGCTGTAATGTCATTTCAGCTTTCTTATTTGGAACAAAAAACCTGTATGAAAACCTGTGTTTCTTTTTTAATATGGTTACATTATAGAATTATGTGTACCACTCTGTCATTTCATTGTTTTTAAAGTGCTTTCTATTAAAAACAAAATTAAAACAGTCGGCAAGAAGCATTATGAACATTTCTGTCTGTTTTCTTTTTTCTGGGCCTCTAAAATGGAGTAATTAAAATAAGAGCACCGACTTGACACAACAGAAAAAACAATTTCATTGGACGTTTAGCCTCCCATGCGGGAGGCATCTTCAGTAGTTACAAAGCAAATGCAAGGCTCAACCTCAAGTCAACGCTATTTATCACGAATGTCCGTATAAGCTTCGTGGAGAGGGCCGCGGCTTTTGTTACACACGGATGTGTCCCTGCGAACAAACCACGATTCTAGGAGCTTTCAGGACCCCTATCTGTCCTCCCTCGCCAAGGTCGTCGCAGCCGGAAAGTCAAAAGAATGCCCCATTGTCCACGCATGGTCCACCAGTTCAGTCTTCAGTCGCGTTGCATGGGATGCGTACGTGACGTCACGCTTGTGCTCTTTCCAGTCTGGTATCTCTCCTCCGTCCGGTTTCACCAATGTAGGACGCTGGGCAGTCACTGCAGGGGATCTTGTAGATAACCCCTCTCTGGACGTTCGCCGGGGTTGGGTCCTTTGGTTTGGAAACGGAATTTCCAATAGTTCTGTATGGCTTGAAAACAGTTTGAATGCCAAGGGGCCTCAAAGTGTGACTGAGAGGTTCGGAGACTCCTTTGACATAGGGGATGCACACTAGATTCTTATATCTTTCCCTTTCGCACGGTTGCACACTTTGTTTCATTTGGTTCTTGACCTCGTCAACAAAACGCTTTGGGTAGCGACGTTTCATTAAAGCTCCCTGAAAGCTCCTAGAATCGTGGTTTGTTCGCAGGGACACACCCTGTGCAACAAAAACCGCGGCCCTCTCCACGAAGCTTATACGGGCATTCGTGAGAAATAGCGTTGACTTGAGGTTGAACTTTGCATTTGCTTTGCAACTACTGAAGGTGCCTCCCGCATGGGAGGCGAAACGTCTAATGAAATTGCTTTTTCTGTTGTGTCAAGTCGGTGCTCTTATTTTAATTATGACTTTTCCCGGCTTTTGGAGTATTTTTGCATCTAAAATGGAGGTAGCGAAGACATTAAAATTTACGAGACATCAGCTCACATACGTCCAAGACAAAGAACAACAGCTGTGACGTTGGAGGCCTAACCCTAGAAACGTATCAGAATGTTCATCATCACAGATTTTATAAACAGTCATCCAGCAACGGGGGATGTGAATCATTCGCAGTACGTGATCGGTCCCCGCCCATTCAAAATGCACAGCTAATTTCCAAAAAGTTGGAAGCTCGACCGTCTCACCAAAACGGTCGTTGCGTGGGTTTAGTTTTACTCAAAAAGAGAACTGTGGACCTGTAGCCAGCTGAACGACAGCCAAAAATAGAGCTCGGCAGCTTGACACACGCCCACGCACACGCCCATGTTTTCGACAGCAAATTTCCCCCAAGATCGTTACGGACATCCGAAAGAAGTCATATCAAAGAATCAACTCCTTCGTTACTCTCTTATCGTAATTTTATAGATACGACTGCCCTCTGAGATGCGCATACACGACACATACCAGGTTTACTTCGGAGGAGTCATCTGCCAGACGACGGTAGGCATGGAAGCAGCCATTTTGAAATCGCGGTATCTGCGGAGCGATACTGTTTACCGTTCTGCCCATGCGCGCTCAAAATGTAGTTCGCTGATCACCTATCAGGGGATTTAAAATTAGTGTCACTAAGTTCCAGGTAAGTTATTAATGCGGTATATCGCCAAGATCTTATAATGTTTAGAAAGGCGCATGAAAGGTACGTTTTAACATGGTTTATTTTTGTTCGCGGCGGAACGATTTCAGGACAAAGGTGCAGTATACCGAGGCCAAGCTAGCTCCCAAAAATCGATAAAATTTTGTCGCGCGTCGTAGCAGCAGCGAGAAAAAGGGAAACAATGAAAGGAGTGTTCATGCGACAAACTAAACTAACAAATTTTTTAAAAAAAGTCAGCGATTACGAGTTGTGTTTAGTAGTGTAGTGGTTACAGCTCACCTGCAGATTGTCAACACTTGTTGCTCTTTCGATCAAAATAAACACATGTTTTAGTCTTATGTTGCTCATCAGACCTCTTTTTTTTTTTTTTTTTTATATAGTGTTTAAGCTCTATGTTCGACAAATGTTTCGTTTTTTCTAGAAGGTAACGGAAGTGACGATATCGAGTCCGATTGGCTAGAGACTCTAATGACGATAGAGGGGACTTTCTCGTCATTTGAGCCTCTAACCAATCAGATGCAATATCGTCACTTCAGTTTCTTTACAGAAGATACGAAACATTTGTCGAACATAGCCCCCCTGCTTAGTAATAGCCTAGGAACTCTACAAATAAATCCCCTCACCTTTCAGGATACCTTGTTTCAAGATTTTCTTATCTTTGAAAATATGATGGCAGATCTTTTAGACTCGAACACAGTGGCACCAGCAAATCGTCATAGGGAAGAGATGGAACTACAAAATGTCGCTCAAACACGATGCCATTTCGACACCTTTATAATACCTTTCTCCCAGTTTCGAGTCTACGCTTCTTGACAGCCGAGATAAATTATGTACGCTAGACCTTGTAACAAATCAAGACAAAGTCAAAGTCAAATTTGGGGGTTTTACGTGCCAAACCTACGACGGGCATCTGGCACGCCCCAGCGGAGGACTGAGGATTAATTTGGACCACCTGGGGTCTTTTGAAGTGCAACCAAAAGCTCGGTTACACGGCGCCTTCTCCGCAATAAGCCTCCGTCATTGCGGGCACTTCGGTCAGGATTCGAACCCGCCACCTGGGGATCCGTAGGCCGGCGCTCTCGCCTCGGAGCCACCGAGGCGGCTGTAACAAATCGAGAAATGAGAGCAAGAAGCCAGTCATATAGATCCAAGAACAATTTATTATGCCTTGTTTGTTGGTTTTATTTTAACTAAAACAATTCTGAATAATAACAAGCAAGCCGCAGAGAAATATGACTAGCAGAACAATATACTCAGCGGGAGTTATTTGACGGCAACTCATAACGCAAAAAAGAAAACACTCGTGTTCCTCGATCATTACTGGAAACTGCACTTGTAAGCAATGGACGCAAAAACCTTCAAACTCCAACGAAAAAATGTTGACATATTGCAGTTGCTGCAATTGTGTCAGCAAGCAAGGAATTAATGTCAGGTCTCTTTTTTATGATGAAAGGATACTATTGGAGAGCGAAATAAGACACCTGCAGAGAGAAAAAGGTCAATGCAGCATTAACAAATGCATTTTTTTTTTTAAATATGTGTATTTAAGTATATGTTTACGTTAGAAGGTTAAAGACGTTTGCATAGTTACATTAGATCGTTATACTGTATTTGGGAGGAATGCTTTACTTTCACAGATATTTGTGCTCCTCAAAAACATGGAATCGTTCCTCCTAGCTTCAGAAACGTCTCTTCATGAAAAGCATGGTTCAAAATTTTTAAACAGCAGTTTCAAAGCATTTACAATAAAATGCCAATCTTCCACACTACAATGCCTCTAAAAACACAAACCTGACATTAAAACTAAGCAGAAACAAAAAGTTAGAAATGAAATCCATCTAAATTCAACACACAGTTACACTCCAAACACAACTCACGAAAAAATTTAAAAATTCAGACTTTAGGCAAAATTTAACAATTGTTGAGCAAGAAATCTATGCAAATGACAAACAGCACTTCTAAGGCTTAACAAATGCAAAAAGAAGACCATCTGATCAGACACAACAAAAGAAAAGGCCTTCAGAAGACCAAAGACGATTATGAGTATATGCTGCCCTTCATAAATGACAAAAAAACAAACAAAAAAACAGGAGTGACTTATGATATTTGAGCAATTTCAGTGCAGCATTGGGGTGAAGGGGTGATATTACTTTCTCTTGAGAGATGAAACTTTGAATTTGCAGCTTATGTTCTTACAGCTTCCTCGAGTGTACACTTCAAATCGCTCTTAGCTGCTCCAACTAAAAAGACTGACAAGTAGTCCCGCCGCTTTGCCAGAAACATTACACTTCTTCCTCACAAGTTCATCCACAACTTGCCACTAATACTGTTGGCAAATTTCAAAAGGCTTCCCTAGAACAGTTTTGACTGCTGGTGCATAACCAGACAGACGACATAGAGAATTGCCAGAAAATAATACTTCTGATACAGTTCATACCAGGGCCTGCAAACAATCGCTGCCCAAATGTCAAAAGTCAGAACACAAAACTGTCATCAAGCACTCTGCTGGTTCAAGTGAGGCATTTGTTAGAACACTCCCTACGCTGCTCCAATTAGGCACATTCGAGCACCCGACTTGCACAAACAAAAGCAAATTCACAGTTCACTTTGCAAGACACGCCGACCCAGACATTAACATGTTTAGAATGTTAATGCCCATCAACTCCCTCAAAGACTGCGTAAGCAGACATTCACAACATGTTTCAGCACTTGTCTTGTAGCAACCCGTAACACTGAAGCAACTACTAGTTGCTCCAGCTAAGGCATTCCATTGCACAACAATTAACCCAACTGCACCCGTTTCGAAAGCCCTCCAGATGGAGAACCGCATTCCTACACACATTGTTTCGGCTGTCAGAAATGCACCATCACACCCCCTGCAAGTGTCAGCTGATACAATTACTAAGGCATTCCGTTCAGTCTTGCAGACAGTTCGGTTGGATCACCTCCCAGCTTGGGAACATCCTCACTAGCACTACAGCTTGCAGCTACACTTGCAGCAACGGTTGGGCGATTCAACTAAGGCACACCATTCTTGAATTAGTTTTCTTCCTTTCGACATTGCACACAAGTCATTTGGTTGGGCAACATGCTTAAGAACATCCCTGCAGGCCTTGCCTTTAGTCGGAGCAAATGTTAGCTAATCCAACTAAGGCTTTGCATCACCTCACGTAAAGGCCACCACAACAAGGAGCCAGCCCGGCGACATTGATGCGACTTCTGGAACCATGTCGTACAGTCAAAGCTATCGTTCACTGGTCCAACAAAAAGGAAGTCCTTCGTGCCCATACAAGGCTAGTTGCCTTACATGCAATGTGCCAGCACAAAAGCAGCAACATCAAAGCGATAAAAATGCACAAAAAAAATTGGTACAAACTTTAACAGCCATGCTGATACTGCCAAAGTTCCTACAGCAATGCACCGGTCTGTACTAAATATATGTACAACGCTATTTACAATGCAAGTGGCCGGACCGACAGACGCAAGAACGCGCAAGCCCCCACAGTGGTCCCCCATCCTAGACTGTTGGCATTGTATGCCTAAAAAAGGCATAACATGTTTAAATGTTAAACTTCAGGCAGTCAAGCGGCAGTTAGTGGACAGTGGAAGCAGTCCTACGACGAGCGGAACGAAGCCAACGCCGCCGTCGATTTGCAACGCAAACAGTCGTTGCCATTTGCCAAAATACGGTCCCACTTTTGTGCGCTTGGGCGAACAACGACAGAAAGGCATTGAAGATCTGATGCTTGTGCAACTTAGTCGCCCTACCAAAGAATCAAGCATTAACTTCCGGCGATCTCACTTTCAAAACGCGTTGCACACTTCTGTCTCCACACAAACGAAGAGCAGATCCCCATGACAATGCCCAAAGGCCACGTAGAGAGGCCATGTAAAGAAAAGATTCCGCCGACTCAATTGCCCCACCGTCACATTCTGCAACACCTCGGGGAAGCAGTGGAAAAAAAATTCAGTACGCCGCCGAGTCGCCAAAGCGTCGTAGTCGAACGCCGCGACGAGGAATAAAAAAAAGCACCACAGTTCATCTGTCACATAACAGCACCCACCACTCAAACGTAAAAAAGAAGTCTTAAATAAAACGTTGCGTAACAAAAAAGTTCCTCGCAGAGACGACAAATGAGGGACGACGACTTGCTCGATGCCACTGCCTTGGAAGTTTCGAAGCGGACGCATCGGCAGTTCCACTTCGCAGATCCTGTGTTCTCAACGTTTTTCGTTTCCTCTCAGGGATCGTTTGCAGACGACGAATTCCGACGCTGATCAGTCCACGCGTCGCCTGATGCAGAGTGCTGGTCACGGACGACTTCGTTCACCACACCTTTCCACTGTAGCATGCACGCTGCCGTGTTCGAGGAGATGAGACAACGTCGGGAAAAGAAAAAGAGAGTATGTTAAGGCAAGCTCTTCTCGGAAGCATCTAGAAAATGCGCCGACGATTAGCGCCAGAACTACCTATGGGTTGCTCTGCAATGCCTCACCAAGACAAAATGCCTTTTACCACTTGCAGCTTAAATATATTTATAATCGGGCAGATTTCAGAAGAAAACTGAGTTTTACGCTAATGTCACTTTGCAGCTGTGTATGAAACCTCACCTACATGCTCCTCTAATCAGCTGTTCTCCCTAACTCCTTATCCTTAAGAGGTACCATGGCAGAGGCTAGAAGCCAGAGCTCGGAGCCTTGGCAGTTGCTCCTGCTGCGCGAGAATGTGGGCAGCCAAAGGGCATCCGTGAGCAAGCACGCATGCAGCCTTCACTGCGTTACACAGCGAGACACTGTTAGCACAAACATGAAATCCCCGTTTCTTTTTTCTGCTTTTGTCTTAGAGTCAAAACTAAAGAAGAACACCAAACTTGATGTTTGTGTTTATGCAGCGTAAGGTAGGTCTGACTTCGAGGCGCGGCGACACTGGTTTACACTGCAGACGAGAAAATTTAGCCAGTGCAGTACAACTGCTAGCCTGGTGTCTTTAACCTGCATCACGCAGTAGTGATACACGACCGCACACCAGTACAATGCTTGTCCAGATCGAAACGGGGGGGGGGGGGGGGGGCGATCAAACCCAGGATCCCTGGGTTCTTCAGCGCGAGATTTCGCTCCACGTGGTCCGAGCTGGTGTGCACTAACAGACTCGGCCACCGAGTGTGTTACTAGCCACTACTGTGCCGGAAAGTGCTCACTCGAGACACAGACCCAAACAATAAAGATTGGAGCCCGCCAATACCCTTTCGAAGTAAAGTGCAAAAAAAAGTGTTGATGTTGTGTTTGTGCCAACAGTGTTGCACAGTAAGTGTCTTAAGGTGACATGGAGTATATGAGTTGAGTGATGGTATAGTCTATAAAATGCCTTTCAGACATTTGAGTAGAAAAAGTATGCTCAAATTTTCACACAAATACATTAACATGTCTGAAATAATGGAAAGTAATTAAGCTTTCTTAAGTGAAGGAAATGTGCGCATGAGTAATGAAGTGTTATGAAGTTATTGTACGGGCTGTTGAACCTGGCCATACCGTATGTTGGCACGCATACAGTTTTCATTCATACTGCATTTTGGTCGTAATACATACAGTACACTAACTTCTAGCTAGGCCCTTGGAAGAAAACAGCAAGCCCTGTAAAATAAGCTTGTAAATGCAATCTGAGCAGTGATCCTACTTCCACCAATTTGAAATTAGAGTAATTTTTTATACTTTAACTGAATTCTGAAACCTATTGAAATTTTTGCCCTTGGGAAGTGCTTCGTCAAATATTTCAGCAGACCCAGCTGGCATCTCAACTTTAACAAATGAAGATTAAAAGTTTTCCCAAGTCAGGTTGACATAGTGCACAACCAACAGCAAATCTACTCAACAACATAACAGGACTTGGACAAAACAACAATATATGCACTCAAAAGCACCTAGCCACAACATCGAAACACGGTGTTCATGCTATGCCTTCGAAATCATGTTAACATGGCCCGGGCCACACATCCCACAGAAACATGCAACGAGACACATGAACAGGCAGTTTCGGACAGAGTGACACGCATGCACATTGTACATATTCCGTGCATGACCCAATGTTGTTGAGACATTCCTTTCCATGTAGTACCCACCTACTTTCACGGGTATTTTGAGAGCAGCAGTATTTGAGTCACTTTCACTTAGTATCCACTTATTCCAACAAGTAATAGATATGTAGTTCTATTTTCTCAACGACAACAAACTGAAGTCAGAGTTTAAGGTGTTTTCCGCATGCAGGAACATTTAACACAATTTGATAGCTTCAATAAATCAAAAGAGAGGATCTTTAGCCAACTTTCTCAGAGGCTTTTTTCATTCCCAGGTTTCTTTTCTCACAGATTTCCCATACGACTGCACACATATTTAAGGACAAAAATGTGTGAATCAGCCACCCCACCTCTTGACACAGATCTGTCCCCACTCATACATTCTTTTCGATGAACCGTTATTCTTCCCAAACATTGTATCACATGTGTAACGTCAAGCAATGTTGAGGTGCTATGTACGAGGGCATGTGGAACTCCTAGCATTGGTGCAGTTGGGTTAGATTGAACATATAGGAGACTCCAAATACCCAGGCTCCCTCTAAAATCGACCTGAAAATCCTCCACTTGCACATGGCAGTCTCAAATTTTTACCAAAGGTGTATCAAAACAAGGGTTGCACTTGTCGTGCCGTTTTTCAATGCGCAGAACAAGCAGACGACTCACTCAGTCGAAAGCAGACAACGGCACTGTCTGCTCACTGCACCTATCAGATGGCACCACAAGCACAGCTTTTGCTAACGTAGTCATCTTTGTTGTCGTTTTCCATTTACAGTGGCAAGGGTGTTGGTCTCATTTTTTCACGGGAAGGAAGCTATGTCTTCAAACTTGTTAGGGTAAACTGAACCACAAAAACACACCTATGATGAAAATTTGAGACTGCTACAAGGCACACACTTTTCTGGCCAATTATAGAGAGAGCCCAGATGTTGAACACACCCTATAAGGAATACCAGAGTAGCAACAAATCGAAATTAAGAACACCAAAACTGCAATGCACAACACATAAAAATGGCTGCCTCAATGCTAAATTACAGTAGACTCATTATTTCAACTCTAGGAAGCCACGAATTTTGTTTGAATTATCAGAAGCTTGAATTACAAGAAAAATTATTTAAATATAACGAGGTAAAATTATGATTTGTTATATGGATCGCTACACATACAAAGCAAATATATTTGTTCCTCTACATAGGCCTACTATGGTAATCATCTGCAGGTACGCCACACATGAAGCATTGTTGAAATGCATGAGATAAGATTATTCAGCCCTGAAAAATATTGTCTATCGTGGGCTGTTTAGATAGCACATGACGCCTCAAAACAAAATTTAGTCTGTTCATCCAGCAAAAAAGCTGTCTACTGTGGACTATTGGCCAGTTGAGCGTGCTTATTAAGCATTGGTGCACTGCGCAGAAGCAACACCTGCAGAAGCGAGCTCCATGGATGTTGCCTTCCTGCAGTGCACAGGTGCTCGGTAAGAAGCGTGCTCAACGGGGCTGCGAGAACAAAAAGTATGAATCGCACCAAAACTCCGATGGAATTAAGTGGCTTATAAATGTGTTGAAAACATGATGGGTGAACCAAATTTTTTAAATATCTTTGAACTAACCAGGAATATGAAACATCAGAGTTTGAATTATTGCGCGCCTACTGCAACTCGAGCTCGTGTCAGAAAAAGCTTGCAGGTCTACAACTCTAATGCTACAACATTTGGCTCACATCAGGCAGAGTTTGCTCCCTAGCATTAAACCATCCAGAAGGTCAATGTGTTGGCACTATCCGCCTGCAACATTGAAAGCTTGTTGCAAGCATAACCCTTACTGTGCAACCCGTGTTCCCCTTTATCAGTGCAGTTGCTCCACCACATTGCCAAAGTGTTTGTGGCAGCATTGCAACATTCAACAACACCAAACTTAGAACGTTAAACTATTGGACTCCACACATGCAGAGGTTGCAACGACCGACATGCGTCATGCAGTGTTAAGCTAGCAGTACGAACCAATGGCAGCAGCACGTGCGATGCACATAGGTTGTACGCAGAGCGGACAATTGCATGCCACAAAGTCTGTTCCAGAGGAAGCCTTACTCATTTCCTTAAGTCTCTGTCCAGTGCTATACCGTCAAGTTTCATTTTCATCCCACGTCAAAGATGGGCCTTCGCTAACGCTGGATCGGCGCCAGCTTCTTCGGGACCGACGTCGCACTTCGTCGAACCAACGTCGGGCGACCAGTGACGTATCAACGTCGGATCAACGTCACACTGTGCACCAAGAACTGAAACAATGCACGATGCATCAAGAGGGCCCGAACTCCGTGGGCGCAACATCAGCGACCTTGAGTTACGCAGACAAAAATCTATGACAGTACACATTTTTCACCTACTCCAATCACACTGCTATTAATCCGAATGGAACCCTGGAAAAATTTTATGAAACAATAATTTGTAGTGTCATGCCGACATAAGAACTAATAACTGCCTGATGATGCGCATCCCCGGACATAAAGAAGTTGAAGCTTAAAAGGGAAACTCTGCCAAAAGTTTCATGGTCTCCAATTTTCACAGAAGTGGCACCAAGTATTAAATGCACTATACAGGGCACGTTTATAAAATATTCTGCCAAAATCATTTATGGGGGAGGAAAACGGAGCTCTTTCTTAAACTCCATGCACATCTCAATTATCCACTATATAGTTGAGTGAAGGTTACGAGCTAGAGTGCCTCTTTGACCCATTAATAATTTGTACGCAGCCTTTGAAATAGATGCGTGGCCCATTAGGACAGAAGCCACAATCCAAATGAAATACCACGAGTGAGAACTGGACAGAGGCTGCAATCCAAATCAAGCTATCAAAAGCGACAACAACTGGACACAAGCTGCAATCAAAATCAAGCTATCACAAGTTACAACATGACACAAGTTGCAATCCAAACCAAGCTATCGCATGTGACAACTGGACAGAAGCCGCAATCCAAACGATGCTATCGCAAGTGACAATTGAACAGAAGCCGCAATCCAAGCCAAGCTATCACAAACGACAACCGGACAGAAGCCGCAATATGAACCAAGATATCATGGGTGACAATTCAGGACAGTTGGGCAGATGCTGCAATCCAAATCAAGCTATCACATGCGACAACTTCTAACCTATGTATTACAAGACCACCATTCACAGAAACCAAGCTTCCAAAGTTTGCAATCATTTCTCACAGTCAAAATCTTGTTGCCGCAGGGCATCAGTAACAGACACAACCCCCCCATGCGCATGCCGACAATCGTAAGGCACCAAAGACATGGCAGCAAACAGTCACCCACCTGCAATAAGAGCGTCCAATTCCTTTTCGGATTTGCAGTGATGAAAGTCCGTCGGTAGCGCCCCCTTCATGGCGTCTGCAACGGACGGCTGCAAGCAAAAGCACCACACACCAAGCCATTGTTCAATATTTTTTGCCACAAACAATTAAAGGCCAGCTAGAAGCAGCAATACATCAGGAATGAGCATAGAAGACTAATGTTTGGCTGATGCAGACCATCCTGGCCAATGTCATTTCTACCTTGGCCAATGGTGTTTCTACCCTGGTCAATGCCGGCACTACAACTGGCAAGGTCGGTTCTACCTTGACCAATGTCGGCACTGCCTTGACCAAGCTGACAATAGGTGGCCATTGTCGGCACTGCCTTGACCAAGGCTGGCACTACATTGGCCAATGTCTGTCACATCCGTTAGACACTGCGATCATTCATTTACTGTGTTTGAGGCAATCTTAATTACTCTTCAAAAACAAATGCCACATCCAAATACGCTTTGCTTGCATTCCAATTCCATTTGCAGAAGTTCAAGGGACACTAAAACCCCCAGGAAAAGTTTATTTTTTTATTTTTTGCCAGGCGATTTAATAGGGTGTCAGGACACTACCCAATCAATATTTTGCTGCAGTCATTTATCTTATTAATAAAGCAAAGAAACTCGACTGCTCCGAAACCGAAACACTAGTAAGGGAGATTCATGGCCGACTAGCATACTGAGGAGGAGGGGGAAATGAGGAGGAGAGAGTTGCCGGAAGGCATGTGGCTGTTGCTCTTTACAAAGCTTTTTTCCTGACCCTTCACTTCTTCAGCATGTGAAGGAGACGATGACGTTGCATACACCGTTTGTCGTGGGATTGTTTCCTAATTATATGTGTTTCGTCCACTGCTCTGTGCTTGAAGATTGATTGGTCGGAGCTACGAACGACAGTTCCGAAGTAGCGGTCCCACGTCCGTTGCAACAATGGTCTGTCATGTACCGCCATCATGTCATCCAGCCCCTCGGTACGTTGACATATCGAGAATGACTAAGTACATGTACTTCCTGTGATCTGTGCAACATTTTGTTTTTACAATCAAAGTGTTTGCAGCTTTTTGGAAGCCACAAAAATGGGGTTCATAATTTTTTTTCTATTTTTAATATTGAATGTATGCCCTAGATGACCCACAGCTTTGAATACATTTGGTATGCCATAGTTTGAAAGGCATGTAACCATGGAAGAGAGAGTGAGCATGCCTCAAACCGGTCAATTCTTGACCGGCGGTTTTAGGGCGAAAGGAAAACAAATTTCGAGCCGCAAATTGTGTTCTGGGTACTAGTTGGGCCCTTGTAGGTCATACAGTAAAACCTCGTTATAACAAAGTTGAAGGAGCGGTCGTCATTATTTCATTATAACCATTAGTTTGTTATAGCCACTGTCCATTTCCCACTATTAGCAAGCAAGGGGAATTATGATTGCTTTGTTATATCCATTAGTTTGTTATATCCCATTTTGTTATAACGAGGTTTTACTGTATTCAAATAAAACCCTTGGCGAGCATAAATACCCTGTCAGTGTCCCTTTAAGCTCATGTGCCGCTGAAGCCTGAATAAGGCAATGAAATTATGCGAAGGATTATGGAATCGACCATGTGAAGGATATTCTTGTTCATGCTGTCTTTGACTCGTTCACAAAACACATTCTTCGTGGTTCCGTCCTAACCAGAATGGTGTCCAGTCAGGCCAATCTCCGATGTTCAAAACAACATTTAAAAAGGGGGGAATGTATGGCAGGAACACTACTGTCGATGCTGGCTTGGCATTAGTCCAACCTAGCTCCCAAGACATCATACTACCAAGGCAAACCTTGGCCTGCCAACAATGCCACATTTATGATTAATAATGCAGTAACCGGTATCAAAAAGTCCCGAGTAGAAGGAACTGAAAACGAAACAATGAACCAGACATTGTAATGATTGAAGACACGTCATTATATTCACCTTTAGGTTGACATAGATGAGGGTTGCCTGTTGTTTGCTGAAGTTGTCACTCAAGCTCTTGAATGCCTAATTCCAAGAAGAAAAAAAAAACATTTTGTGGCCAGGTTTTACAGTGGAATGAACGTACATAAGCAATTTTTCAAATATACCGAGTTTTATAAATTTAAAGTGTCAACAGAGGCCACCAAAAACAAGACATCTCTCCAGTTCTAACAAGCATTTTTTGATGCTAAAAACAACATAAAGGTAAAAGTCTAGGCTGGAGCAAAATAACTCAATTATAGGTTACAGAATAAGGAAGACTGCCAACACTTCCGTCTTCCTTATGCTAAAGCCCACAGAGTGACAATACGGCTTTCGGCATTCACCCAAAAGACTACCATAAATCAATGCTAAGCCAATTACCATATTTTCCCAGGCCGGTGTATAGTATCCACCCGGTGTACAGTTCGCACCCAGTGCCTAGTATGCCAGTGAAACATTCTCATACACAGCACACCTTGACTAATGCCTTCTTTACTTGCATACAAAGAAGCTTCTATCATACATAAATCACCATTAGCATTATCCGTCATTCACAAAATACCTTATGCCTCGTCTTAAATCATGACCTGGAAAAAGAAAAGAATTACATAGACATGTAGATAATCCGCACCGCGTAAAAATTAAACTTTTACACGTGCATAGACCGCGGACAATAGACTGGAAAATATGGTGTGAAAGAGGAAGAAAGCCAAAAACGAGATCATTCTGCTTCAAACCACCCATGACCAATTATGTGCCATTTCTTGTACAGCAGGTATGTCCAATGTTGAAGCAAAAGAATTGAAACAATCAGCATGGTCACAAACAAGACGCAAGTTGCCACACATTTTCTAACATATACAGTAAACTTTCGTTAGTTCGACCTCGGTTAAATTGATTTTTCGTTTAATTCTATCGTGTTAGAAATTCTCGACAATCGCCCATACATTTCTATGGGAGGAAAAGTTTGATAGTTCGAACTCGGGAAGACTCCGCACCGGATAATTCGTCCCGAGCGAATGCGCGCGGGCTCACATTGCACGGCACCGCGGCAGAAAAACCACCAACGTACGGCGAAACATGCGCCCTTTGCTGCAAAGCGGAACGTGTGCAAATATGCGCTGGCTCCTCTACGCCGTTGAGATGGACCATAGCGAATGACACGAGCCAGCGCAACCAATCTGGCGTGGAGTAGCACGGAGAACATAACACGTGGTCGGGCGCTGAGACAGCGCGCGTTCTTAAAGCGCTTTTCTGTAACATCGTGTGCGGTTCATCTTGTGCGCCGGGAAGCAAGAGTTCTCTTTTCCTTTTTTTTTAATTTTTTTTTTTTTTTTTTTTTGCCGACAGTTTGATTTTAAAGCGCTTTTCTGTAGCATTGTGTGCGGTCCATCTTGCGTGTCGGAAAACACAAATTTTCTTTTCCCTCTATTATTTTTGTTATTTTTCTTTGTCACCGACGCCAAAATCAACTCGTAAAACATTTTTTTCCTTTTTTTTTTTTGCGCGCGATTTTTTAGGGACGTGATGTTTAGTTACGCTTCTCTCCGGAGCATACTTTTGGACACGCGTTTTAAGTGCAGACGGCAGCAGACCATCCGTAAGTACTTTGGACAATAAAAGGAAGTTTAAGTTTTTCTCTCCTTTTTTTAATTCAATCATTCGGATAATTCAATCAAATTTCAACGTCTCGTCGAGGTCGAATTAGCGAAAGTTTACTGTAGTCAGTGACAGGTCAAGGCCGAAGTGGAAGCTCCTCCCACCGCTTTCTACTTCAGTAGAGCGAACGCTGGAGAGAAGGCGACCTCCTCTCCACCATTCGCTCCGCTGAAGTGGAAAGGGGAGGAGGAACTTCCACTTCGTTCTTGACCTGTCACCGGCTATAGTTTGAATGTGTCCCCTGCCAAATTCAAGCACACAATCCGAAGAGGGCGTAAGCTGTCTCCGGCCTGCACCAATCCCACCTACACAAAATAAAGACCAATCTAAGTCGCTAAAAATTTGAGGTAAAAAACTACACACCGAGTACCAAAGGCCCCTAAGGTAAGAACCAATCCTAAATCAATTGAAAGTATCGGCAACAAATGTACTGATAATGAAGAAACCCCAAGACAGTACACCTAGAAACACACAGAAAAACACACACACAAAGAAAAAAAACACACAGAAAAAAACACACACACACACACAGAAAACACACACACACAGAAAACACACACACACAGAAAACACACACACACACACAGAAAACACACACACACAGAACACACACACACACAGAAAACACACACACACACACAAAACACACACACAGTCTTGGGGTTTCATTGTTACAATCAACTCTCACCTGCTCTTTTCCGCCTTTACACTTCGTTTAATACACTGAACGCTCCGAAAGCAACTACTCAGATATAGCTGTCGCGGACACTGTAGCCATTACACTAGAGTCGCTAAAGAGACACTTCAACGACCGGCGCCCTTTTCCCACCATTGTTCGACACTGTCAGGACAGTCTTGTTGGTTCACGTCACATGACATTTGTGGGCGCCGCCGTTTGGTTGCTTAGTCGCGTAAGCAACTAAGCAAAGAAAATATACAACTTTTTTTTTAGTCATATACATGGTGTCAAGGTTAATTGTGGCGTCGTTTTTCTCCACTCCAAACTGCTTTACCAAGCAGGATGACAGAAAGCACGCTCCGTCGGTGCACGTCTGCAAAAGTTGGTGACAGCCGGCAACATCGATTCCACCCATCAATTTAGTGGCTCCGGACCGCGCCACCCCGGGCTTGAGAACATGAGAAGCGTGGCCGACAATGGGCCTCCACTCACCACGGCGGTCGTGTAGTCAGCGCTGCCAATGTGTGCCCCGTCGTAGACCACAAACCGTGGCGTCCCTTCTTGAGCTTCCGGAAGCGCCTTGGTGATCTTGGAGCTTGTGTACATCGAGGATGGGTACAGCACGCTGCGGTCAGGGGACACCAGCAGGTACGGCACACCAGAGAGGGTCTGCGAAGACGCGTCACATGACCACCAACCTCGCAGGGACACTGTGGCCCCAATCATGGGACAGCACGGCGCTCTCGTAGCGAACGCACCGAACAAGGGCCCGTTGGGGTCCGAACGAGGGTCCACAAAGCGGACGTTTCCGCACCGAAGCGCTCGCGGGAATGCCAGAGTCTCGGTAATCGGGGGAAGAAAGAAAAGTAAAACTTTGGGGGGAATTCCCTGCACGCCAATTTAGCGAAGGAGAATGAATCGATTCGGACGACTCGTAGTCTGATGCGGGAGGCACTCACTTGATCGAATGACGTTTTAGCGAACGCCCACATTTCATCGAACGACACTTTAGCGAATAGTCGGACGCCGCGAAGCGGCGTTTTTGGGTGGGCCAAGTGAGTTCATATTTTTGTAATGAGTTGCCACAGACTGTCGCCGCGAAGCGGCGTAAAGCGCAGCGCGACAGATGGGTTAACGTGCGCCCCCGTTATTCGCTAAAACGACCATTCGCTCAAATGTCGCCGTTCGCTAAAATGTCATTCGCTCTTGTGATATGGACCCGTCTGATGCGGGTGAAGAACGGGGGGACAAGTCCCTCCTGCAAAGCACTCGGCTTGCCACGATCACTGGTCTCCTCCTCTTTACCTGTTTCGTTTCCAGCATTTGCTCCCCTAAAGTGCAAAGAGCGGAGGGCTTTGTGGGCGGAGCTTGTCCTACTTTTCATACATTGCAACAGACTATACAGGACGTTTTCTTTTTTAAGCCTAACAGATTCGTTAAAAAAAAAATCCAACAAAGCCATACTAATATGGTTTGTGCAGGCGAGTTATCCAGCCAGGAAGACATAGTGGAAACTTAACCTTAACGGTCAGTCGGCTAATTAGCTCAAGTATGTTATAGTTGATGTTTTAATTATCGAAACAAACATACGGTTCTAATTAGAAACTTGCCGAACGTCGTCGAAAACCACTAAACCAGTCAATATTAGGAAGACTTTGGGGCATGAGGGAAGCTTGGTGGAGCGCTTAGGTTACCCTCGTGCAGCACGAGCAAGGCCACCGGTGCGATAGTGTCCACGCGGCCTTTCCGTCTTTATCGTCCGCGTTTTTTCGCCCCAGTCTTGTGCCTGTTGCTTGAGCAACAACTCGTGCAACAGGCACGAGCGCAACTTATGAATGTGGAAAGTTGGCAGCAAAAGTGACATCCCTGGGAGCCTTTTGATGAGCAACTGACACCTCAGTTACGCTCGCTCTGCTAGGAGTGGTTTGCAACTTTTATTTGTGGGTTTGATGTAGCTTTCAAGACGTGTCCGATCAAAGCTATGCCACTCCTGAGAGGCGTGCGTCTGCCATTACAACCGCCGACATAGATAGACAGTAAAATCTCGAGATGCCCCACCCCAGAAAGATAGCCCATGCCTATTTTTGGCTCTATTTGCTATAGATTTTTTTTTTTTAAACACCGAAAGATAGCCCAATTTTAGTAATAGTAGTGTTGAGATAAACGATGGCCTCGGCGTAAATGCGGCTAGTTAGCAATGGTGGGATATAAGCGAACGCTGTTAAATAGAAGGTACAGTCATTTTTGCTTCGTTGCCGTCTCGCCACCATAACAAGCTTGCAAGGAACACATGACCTAAAAATATAATTTTTTAAACTGGTCTTGACTGCACACCGAAAGTTAGCCCATTCCATATTTTCAACCGATTTGGTCCCGATTTTAGGTTGGCTATCTCTCGACATATCACGGCAGATCTTCAGGTCGGCATCCCCTTAATGGGTCGGCCAAAGGGTTTTCTTGTGTCGCAGCGACAAGGACAGAGAGATGATCTTACAGTCTTGCGAGAGATCCTGATGCGTGGTCGGGCGTGTTCGTACATCAGCAGAGCCAGGGAGATGACAACGCCGGCGATGATGCCGTACTGGAAAAAGGAATTCCACGGATCACCATAAGTTACACAGCAAGGTCCTAAGGACACAATGATCCACTCTTTCTCCAGGGTGTAAATTGCCAATGGTTGGCTTTGCAAATCTAGGCTGTGCCCAGAATCAAAACCGGCACATACTAACTGTCTAACCCAAAATGGCACATATGAACATTCTAACTCGAAACCAACAGGGCTACAGCAGAATGGCAATTGACATGAAGGCTATCTAACTCTATCAAGGTGTTCAAAGATATGTTGCAACACTTTATTCTTCAGCACACTGGTAGGACTAAGGAGGATGCTAATGTTATGCTTCGTCTCAGCCTAACTTGGGAAAGAGAAATTGCTAAAGCCCCTCGATCTGATTGGAGTGATGAAGCGAAGCATGTGATAGCCCTCCATAAAAGTGAACTCCGACGATGCGCCGTCATTCATTTCGCTCTCGCACTTCGATTAACTTGCTGGGGCCATTGCTTTGGCCGGTTACCAAGTCACGATGAAACAGGGTACAGCGACCACCACAGCGTTTTCGCATCATTCAATAACCGGGTAAACCAAAGAGATGAAATAGAACAGATTTAAAGCTCACAACTGACCTCCAATCCAAGCACAAAGGACACGAGGAAAGTGGCGGTGAATGGGAACAGGTCGATCTCTGCAAAGTGTCACAAAACAGACGAACGTCGGCACGACAGTGGCAAATGGCGGCATGACAGTGGCAAACATTGGCAAAACAGCAGCAAATACCGGCAGAATACTGGCAGGTGGAAAACAAGGAAAGCTCACTGTTTGTGCGCCACATGCCGGGGACGTCCTGGTAGTGTATCATGAAGATGACGGCGGTGATGATGATGGCCGCCAAGGAGGCCTTGGGGATGAACTTGAAGTAGGGTGCCATGAAGACCAGGGCCATGATCACAATGGTACCTGCAGACGGACATTAGAGAGTGCGAATGAACAACGAGGGAGTCGCAACTTAATGAAATAAAAAAATGTTGTGGTGAATGACGCATTGAAAGCTGGAATTCAAAGTAAGAATTATACAAGTATGATCATGCTGACAAAGAGTGGTAAGCACAGAATGTCCAATAGGCCATGCTGGAATGCCAACTACAGTCTACGCTCATTATAACAGACCTGGTTACAACAGACATTTGGATATAACATACCAGTTTGTGAAGTTCGGTTGGTTTTCCTCTATGCACCATTGACTCAACTTCATACCTGCATACAACACACTCCTTTTACAACAGACCAAAATCTTGGTCAAAATCAATGTCTGTTATAACGAGCTTAGACTTTACATTGTTTTTTTTGTTTTTTTTATTGACATGTATGATCCAGGCAGTTTAGGTTTTCGATGCTCGTTTCTGGCCATTCTTCATCCAGAAGCAACCAACAACTGCGCTTCTGGATGCAAATTCGACTTGTCGGGGCGGGATGTGCTCCAGTGGAGTCTGCAATGGCGCGGGATCTTAACCGTGACGGCAAACGAAAAGGCTTCCGTGGGCCAAAGTCTGGATGCCTTAAGGAGTTAGAAGTCAGGCTTGCAACATACGCTGCAGAAGTGCGCAATTGGTCCTTACGCGTGACGTGCAACGCGATCACCGAGCAAGCGCGGAAGATGCGGTTGATGCTGTCATTTGCAAAACACGAGATTTAGTTAAACAACGAGGACCTGCTTTGAGAACGTGGCAATGATGACGACGGGACTGACATCATCAGTGTGGACGAATTCCAGTCTCTAGTCGCAGACAGAGTGAGAACAACATGGAGCAGCCTCAGATGTCCCGCCTCTAGCGTGAGCTTCCTAGTTTCGACAACGCCTGGGAATCTCATGCTCCTTGCGTATGCATGCGCATCCAAAGCAGGCCAGAAGGCGTCGCATGCTGGAGGCTGGGCTTTCGAAAGAGATACCGTGACGTTCTCACGTGTTCACCATAAAATATGAATCTAAAGATTTTTTTTTTTTTTTGCTGATGTGCATTGTGGGGGGATTGACTTACAATCGAGTAAACTGAAAATCATGTAAATATGGTGCGTGGCCAATGGGAAAGAAAATGCCCTTGAAACTTCCTTGTCTTTTACATAAAACAACCTTTACAGATGTTTTCATAATTTCCTGCAGACCTCTTTCTCTTGAAAGATTTTATGTTCATCAATATCTATATATATATGTATTTCTAACTGCATGGACGTTCAAGGCTTCAAAAATGAAGACAACACTGCAGCTTTCAGAGGAGCTTCCATAGAAAGCTCTTTGTTTTGGATTTCCCAAACTGGGTATCATTGGTCAAGAATAAACTTTAGGAGACAGCTGGGTTTTGCATTTTAACCCAAACAAGACGTTTTCCAATGGAGGCACTCTGTGCAGGCTAGTATCATATTCCCACTCAATGTTCTCTTAAAGTCAATGAAAATTTGCCAACTGGCTTCACCCATGACAAACTAGACTATGGCATGATTTGACCCTACTGTACCTGTGAAAACTCCTCCCATTGGTGTTCGAACGCCGCTGTTGTTGTTAATGGCTGTCCTGCACAAAGCAAAAAATGAAAGAACTCAGTTGAGACATTTACATTATACAGTTAGCACTTTCCACTTGTTCTCTACCATTGGGAAAGAAGAGGTTCACTCTTCTTTTCCCTCTCCACAGAGCAAAGGGTGTGCAGAGCCCCTCACTGCCCTTGTCAATTGGGAGAGAGAAAGAGAGAATCAGAGTTTCTGCCTTGCAGAAATTGTATGTTGGCCTCTAGATCAAGCAAGAAAACAAAAGGGGGCTGTACAAGCTTATCCAACAATGGCATTTTTCTGCCACTCAAGCGCGAAGGTAGACTTTTTGAAGCAGATAGTCATAACCTTAACTAAGAGCCTGCCAGCACAAAAGTAGTGCCCACTGCATTTTCATTGCTGCACCAAAGAAGAATGGTATCCCAGACACGACTTGCGTAGCATGGACGTTACTGATGCCCAAACTTTGCATGGCAAAACTGTTCCAATGCCATTCTACCTTAGTGACATATTTCTAAGAACAGCATATCACATGAGCACGTAGAGAAAGGTAGCAAGAGAATCGCATGATATCCTTGTCAAAAAAAGACGCCAGGGAAACATGTCTACCTTGAGAAACTTCCAGTTCCGGGGTATGCGCTGACGAAGGACCCCATCAGGTTGCATATGCCTGCGAAAAGAATGAACACAGATCTGCCTCATTCACAAAAACCAAACAAATCCTCCAATAAAACAATAAAATAGAACTAAATGATAGACTCACCTATTGCCATCATTTCCTGCGTGGAGTCTAGTGTCTTGCCCTTGGCTGTGAAAAAAACAAACATAAAACTGTGACACGGGACTTTGCAGTTTTCTTTCTTCAACAGTGCTTCAGTGCAATGCAGTCAATCTATAACAAATGTTTTATGTCTATAAACTATCACTATGAAAAAACACCTGCAGCAAAACTGTAAGCCTATAGATGTCCGTTCATTAATGACAGAGAACAATCTTCTTCAAGACTGATAAAAAAGCAACCAAATTTGGTTTCCAGAAAACCTAAAGCTAATGAGGCACAATAACAAGCTTAAGATCTCAAGGCTTTGCTGTCATTAGAAATGGCACTACAGTTGGTGAAAGGTTAAGAGTGAAGTGGAAGCTCCTCCCACCTTTTTCCACCACAGCGAAGTGAATGCTGGAAAGAAGGCAACCTCCTCTCCAACATGCGCTCTGCTAAAGTCGAAAGATCTGGGAGGAGTTTCCCCCGAGCTGTTAACCTGTCACCGACCATAGGGTGTCTGAAACCGGTGCTAGTCTTTTTAAGCTTCGTAGACCAGCATGCTGAAAAACTGACCCCCCAGAGATAAAGCAGTTCCCAGTAGAAATGGCCTTATTTTTACAACACTTACCAAATGCTTTTGCAATTGCAACAGACTCCAAGATCGACAGCAAAGCAATGATAGGAATGCCAGAACCCAGCTCCTGAAAGTAAACAAGTACAACCAGATTCGATTAATTTATTGTTTTCTTTGTGAATATTGTTCACCCCAAGTACGGGGCTTTAACAGGTGTGGGATATAGAAGAACACTGAAGCATACAACATCAGGACTACAATACAGTACACATTCAGCGACATCTACTTAAAATAAAGGGGCTGAAATAGCACAAACATTCAATATATTATTTAGCACTATTTTAATGTAATTAGACAAAATACAATGCAAAGCAAAGTGATGAAATGTGATGCAATGAAATGAAGTGCAACAAAATACAATGCAACAAAATGCAATGTAAAAAAATGCAATGTAACAAAATGTGATGCAATGAAAAGCAGTGGGATGGAATGTACTGTGACCAAATGAAATGTGATGAAATGCACTGTGATCGATTGTGATGCGAAAAATGCAATAAAATGCAATGTGATGAAATGCTATGCGACAAAATGCAATGTGACGAAATGTAACGCAACGACATGTAATGCAACGAAATGTAACAATGACATGTAATGCAATGAATTGCAATAAAGGAAAATGCAATGAAATGAAATGCAATAAAATGATATTAAATGCATTGCAACGAAAGGCAATGCAATGAAAGGCAATGCAACAGAAGGTAATACGAAAAAAAATTAAATGTGGCAGAAAGCAATGTACAGTGTTTACTCGCATAATGAACGCACCCCCCACAATGGGTGCCAATATTCAGACTTTTTTTTTTCCCTCGCGTAATGAATGCACCTCCAATTTTCGGCTCCGCAAGTCTCGAATTGCGTCCGATTAAGCCCACCAAGCCAATTTTCTTTTGCCCCCCAGCGGTCAGGCCAAATCAAGCCAAGCCAAGCCACTCTTGTAATGGCTGCAAGCAACGTTACTAAAACACTCAGTTGGGAAACTCGCCGTCGAAACCTGGGCCGCTGGCGTCCACCGAGACCGAGCTAAATGCAACAATAGCGCCACTCTTTATCGTTTGTCTGTACTGTGGGCACCTCAAGCTTTTTGAAAGCCTGTTTTTGCGTAAAAACAAACGGAAAAGACTCTTTTTATATGAAATTTATTGGAGTTTAGTACCAAATGATGGGTGCATGATGTTTTTATCACCTTTAGTTCGCAAGGTTTTGCGGAACAATTAATATTGTTTTTTATAAAACCATGCCTCAGCGGGCCTTTCAGGTAGCACGTCCCGCCCTAGGTGCATTTTAACTTCAGTAGCTCAACGCGGCGCGTCCGCCGGGGAGACGGGGGTGGCACCCCTGTAACCTCTACCACTGTATCTGTTCTTAAAGCCACGTGCAGTACCCCGAGTGGCCGCGGCGGGAGAAATGGTGGCGTTGTGTTCGTCATTAGCTCAGTGCTCGGAGACAGTTTGGGGCCAGTTTTTCAAAGCTGTCTCTATGGGAGTTTTCCAACTGAGTGTTTTAGTAACGTTGGCTGCAAGTGCATAGTTCCGAAAGTGATTAACCATGAAACCAAGTAGCACGCACACTTGACGAAGGTTGGGTCGAGTGATTGCCCAGCCCCGAACATTCTTTGCCTATCGGATGCATTGATGTCAACAAACACGCCGTCGTCTGTGGTCCGCATTCGGACAGTGAAATCGTGAAAGCAGTTAGGCCTAAGAACGGTCGCATTGCTCTCCATGCAGAGTGAGCTTCGTAGGGCGCTTTTCCTTCGGCAAGACACGCCGAAAGTGCCCTAAAAAGGTTTGCAATCTATGAAGCATGGATACTGTGGTGCACCCCCGACAAGCCAAGGGTGTGCCTCGATCAGTGCAGACGTGCCACAGTACCTTGCCACGTAATATCGGCACCTAATATTACATTCGCATGATGTGTAAATGCAGAAATTTTACCTCGCGTAATGAACGCATGCCCCAAATATGTGTAAATTTTTCGGGAAAAAACTGTTCATTATACGAGTAAATACAATAATAAAAAGATGTGGCAAAAAAAAAAAAAAGAAATACATGCAAAACGCAAGTTAGCAGATGAAAACCACCTGGACAATGTCGAAGAAGTCCTTGTGAATGGTTGTGGAGTTGGTGCCGTTGAAATTGGCGCTGAAGTCAGGCACCCGAAAGGAGGGAAGACCTCCCTGAACTTCCTTGGTGAGGTCGAAGGGCTCCATGCCAATGTTGAGGAGGCACGACGCCAGAATGGCACACGCCAAGACCACTATCGCATTGCGTGCTGTCACAGAGAAAACAAGAACCTTGTTGCAGAAAAACTGCCGGCCAGGGTTGCAACTGAGCGACAGTAAAGAGCGAAACGCAAATCAGCAAAACTCGCGTTGCTCAATGGAGTAACCATGGCAACCACCATTGATGCTAAGACGTGCCCGAATGCCCTGTCACGTCACAGCATCAGCTACGGCTGCTACGATTATGCCGGTCAGCAGCACAGCACGGTTTTTGCTCATGTGTGCTTCATGCTTTGGAGCTTCTGACAAGAAGTTTCTATGCCTAGACTTTGACAGAAGCGACCTACAAGAGCCAAACTGATGAAAATAAATATCTGCAGTTCAAAATTGGGCACTTTTCCAAAGAGAACTATTGGTTATTGTGCAACGACTACAAAGAACACTGGATACCTCGAAACCACATAAACACGCCTGGGGCATACCTTTGTTTTATGAAAACATTAGAATCCACAACAGATGATATGTTGTATGAATTCCAACAAAACAATAAAGATATCTTCATTTAAAAAACTTGAAAACATAGTCATGAAGAGTGAAACAACCCTAATGACCCCTAAGGTGTGTTTTCCATTGCATCTTTTATGAGCAAGTCATCTAAATTTTGTTCGATTCTCTTTTCCTTAGCAGATAATAGAAAAGAACAGTATAGACACCATTTTACACTGCTTCAGAAAGAAAACAAAATTTAGGGTACCAGAAGCTTTGTAAGAAAAGGGGCACTAAAAGAAACTTCGAAGCCTGCTTTTGGGTTCCACTACAAAGATATGGTCCCAACAAAGGAATGTTTGTATCACAATTTGTCTAAACAAAGAGCCGATCGCCCCAACCACGATTCGTCTCTTACCAGTGGCTATCGTCCACCAGGCAGTCTCGATGACCTTGCGGACCCTCGGAGGTAGTCTCGAGTCTTGACTGAACTTGCAGTCCTTGAAGTGCTGTGGCCCCAAAGATTACCCCCCCAACAAAAGAATATGTAAAAACAAGTGAGGGTCCCTTAAATATTGTTAACAAATGTATCTACCGTAATTATGTTTTTAAATTCCTGAAAGTTTCCGGGCCTTTGCCGAATGATGCATACTGGGCCATTTGTCTCGACACGTGGTTTTCAACCCTTCTCCCTCGTGTTGCAGTATTATCTTACTGACGTCTGCAAGATTTTTAATGTTATTGTTGCAGCAAAGGCAAGAGAGTTCCGCTGTAACAGAATCATGAATACTCTACCAAGTGTGTAACACAAAGTGGCATGCATGAACTCCTAATAATTAAGGATTTGAAAAAAAAAAATCTAATTCTACAACTTGAGTTGGACATTTTTACTTGGTCTACTATCTTTTATCATATGGAGAAGTAAAAATATAGATTGGGTTCAGTTGACCTTTGAAAAAAAAAAAAAAAGAATTTTTTTTATTTTTCAACTTATTTCAAGTTTTGAGAAACTAAAGTAATTAAGTCAAATGAGGGCACTTCACCTTTACGAATCGAGTGGAACCAAAAGTTGTATGAAAAAATAAAATGCCCCTGAAGCAGTCTTGTCGCCAAAGAGAAGAGTCAGAAAGGTGATAAGCAGTGAAATTAACTCACCCTCACTACCAAAAGCAAGATCACAGAAGACACTCCAAGCAGAGAGTCACCCAACCTGCACAACAAAGAAAAAGAAAAATCAGAAATGCCTAATCACACAGGCAAAGTTTGTGTAAGAGTACTGTGGTGCCCGTAGAAGATTAAAAAAACTATAAAACCACTCCTTTTACGTTGTCATAACCAGTGTTCCAAAGAAACTCTTCACATTTATACATTTCACAGGCATATGGTTTAGTTTGCACGAGGCAGTTGATGTCAAGACATCAACAAGGCATTAATTTCCCTTTTGTCATCAAACTCTTCCTTATGCAAACAGACAGTCCCATGTTCATCATAGATCCGGTACCACTATTAGAAAGCCTCTTTTCAAAAACCAAGGAACTTGAGTTATCCCTCGGCAATAACTGGATAATATTGGCGTTGTGCGAAACTTCCGATAGTAATTTCGAATAATACACTATTCCCTTCGAGATGAACTGCAGTATTCATTTGTTTCGAAGTGTTGATTGCAGCAGGTCAGCCCCATTAAGCGCACTTCTTAACAAGCACAGGTGCACCTCATTGAAGCAACACCCGCAGAAGTGAGCTCCGTGAGTGTTGCTTTTCCGCAGTGCATCGGTGCTCGGTAAGAAGCAAGCTCAACGAGGCTAGCCTGCCGTGACCAACACTTAGAAAAGTACAAATACTGCAGTCACATGCTAAAGAGGAAAGCACACATTCAAAGTGAAATAGTGCCCGCGTGCCTTGTGTATTAAAAAAGAAACACACCTGGTAAATGTTGATACCTCCACTACAGCGAAACTTCCTTAAAAGCCGACCCACAGAATCCTCTTCTGCCGGGCAGAAAACCGGTTCCCAGTTCCCTTCTTTCCATTTCTCGCACTCCTCCTCTCCACACAGGACCGGGTATGTGAGCTACTCCCCGCGGAGAGGAGGGGGGTCTCCTTTCTCAAATGGTGGGAGAGCTTCCTCCTCTCTGCTTGTTGGTCGGCCTTTAAAATGTGGCCGTTATGCAAGAGCATATGTTAGGCAGAGATTTCCTGACAACCTACTTTCATCAAGTTTCTTTTCTAAACTTTGAGATTTAAGAAAAGATCGAGGTACACCTAAGCATGTCTTACGAGTTGTTAATGCGAAAGCACGCAAGCCGCTCGTTTGCTCCCTTTTTCGTCTGCTGCGTACTTTTCGTTGCCGGTGAGCAGTCGTGGAAACTGACGAGCGCAGCGGCCAATGGGAGCCCCGTCGACGCGCGCCAGCCAGTCGAACCGAAGGAAACTATCTGCCGTTTTCGCGCTTCAAACTGATGACGTCAGCTCACTCCATGAGACAGTTAATGCTTTCGTATTAAAAGGATATTTGCATATAGCAAGAAGATTTATAAATCCCCTATTTGCACATGACTAGATGTTATCCATAAGCAGTAGATAATTCATCCAGACAGGTTCACCAGAGATGGAAATGAAAATGCCCCAGAATAATGCCTCAGAACTGAAAAAACCAAAACAATTACTGCCAACAGCTAACGACGATAATCCCTGGAGAAAGAGAACAAGGGGGACAAGGGAGAAACATGACTCACTGGAAATGAAGAGGCCCTTGTTCGATATTAGGACCAGGCAGATCTATTCAGTCATGCATCGGTCACCTAGCTGTGTTTGGAGATTTGTGTTTGTACTTTGTTCTTGTTCCCTTTTTCCAGGGATTATTATCATTATTCTTGTCTAGCTCATTTGCACCTTTTGCATTAAGTGTATTTTCACCATGCCAACAGCTCTTTCCTACCGAAGACAAGATCACCAGAACGTCATGCCAACGTCAATGCAACAGCACTGTGACAATTTCATTACTTTGCAACACCCTTGCGATACTACGTTGTGACACCATTGGAGTTTCCCTGGCAGCGCTGCGACGTTGTTGTGATGCAACATTTTCCTTACGATAAAAAGGTGAATAATCCGGTTTCCATTTTGTGGTCACTTAAACTCCGTTGCGTGATTCAACGGAAACGAACATACCTAGTGACATCTTCAAAACAGAGGGTTTCGGTCACTTACTTTACTGTGTGGAGATGGGTGAAAAACTGGTACACTATCTCGTAGAACAGTTCGCCCTCGAACTTCATGCCGAACAGTGACTGCAAAGTGAACAGGAGAGTGATCAGACTCAAGAGGGCCAACAAGAACAGAAGTACAGTCTAAGCTCCTTTCAACAGACCTGGTTATAACAGACATTTGGATATAACATACCGATTTGTGAAGTTCGGTTGGTTTTTCTCTACGTACCATTGACTCAACTCCAAATCTGCATACAACATACCGTACTCCTTTTACGACAGGCCGAAATCTTGGTCAAAATAAAGGTCTGTTATAACGAGCTTAGGCTGTATAAGCATGTTATTAGCGACTTAAAAGAGTCACAGATCTCTGCACATAGCCCCGGTAAGAACTCGCTAAGGCTACGCAGTCAAGGTCGTGATGGACACGAAAACGGTGACTCGGCGGCACGAAATCAGAGTTTTCTAGAGAAAAAATGCTCACCTCCAGCTGCGTGCTGGCGATGGTGATGGCTGCCGCAGAGGTGAAGCCGCTGATCACCGGACCGGATATGAATTCAACAATGAAACCTACAGCAAGAAAACGAGGCAAGACAAAAAGGTTAAGTCAAAATTTGTTTTTGTAAGTCTCGTGTTTTTTGTTGTTTTTTTTGTTTTCAAGCAAGGTTTTCGGTAACCAAGAGCAAGCATTTGCTCGCAGGTGCAGTCGACAGAACGGCCGTATCTCCGCAAATCAGAAGACCACACGTGTCGGTACGATGCTGCAGACTTTGCCAGATAATGGCAGATAACTTGGCAGACCTGTTCCGGAAGGACAGGCAACTAGTCGACGCACGCCGAGCCGAAAGTTCGAAGTCTCGAGAAAGGTAAATAGCCAATCGCAGCCATCGACCTTTCTCCAAACGAAAATGCTACGGGCAAAGCAATTACAGATTGGCAGAGTTCTCCCCAGCACTTGGGGTACATTTCCAAGCCAGCAGCTGAGCAAGCTTCTTTGAGAAGTTTGACGGCACTCAACATGCGCTAAAATTTTTCGTCCACAGACGACACTTCGATTTTGGAAGAAAGTGTCGTCCTTGGGCACTCGTGTAGTGAATATACAATATATTAAGGGAAGAGAAGCAACAATGGTGCTTTTCATTTGTCTCGTTTTTATACATACAGGTTCTTCGTGCTCAAGACACAGCAAAAACCTCTACCAGTACTGACTAAAAAGTGAACAGTCCTGCGTTAATCCACAGCACAGCCACAGCGATAGCCGCGACGAATCACAGCAAAGTTCCTGGGCATCGGCATCGCATTCACGCACCAAGGGATGCGTGAACAAGAGCGTTTAGAACAAAATAGACATCTCACCACCTGGTTCTGAACGCTTTTGTTTAACTTTGGTTCCAGAGCGCGTGAAGGCACGTTTTTTGGCACAAACTCTTGGCATTGACAGTGCTACAAAAACATTTTGTAGTTGGCAACATTTTTTTCCAGAGAGAACGTGCAGCGGGCATTGAGTGCTATAAAAACCACAAGTGCAAATCAGGTTCTAACGCTGTGGCATGGCTCACTGCTTACACCTCCGCTTCGCATGCAGCAGTTCCAGGTTTGATTACCGTGGGTGGCGGGCAACATCGAGAATTTGGCAACATCGACGACAGACGCCCTACAATGCCAACTACAATATCAACGACAACAATTACTACAACCAGAGCATCAACGACGGATGTCATTTCTAGTGGTGGGAAGAATCCGTAACAGCTATCATTGTAAAATAGTCAGTTCTAGAGAGTCAGACTTTTGGTTGCACTTCCATTTGTTTACTGTGGGAACCTTACCTAGCTTCAAGTTTCTAGAGATACACAAAGAAAATATAAAGACTTGCTAATGAAAAGCACCAAAATCACAAACACGACATGGCTCTACCGTCGAGGGCCTATGCTAAAAGGAATCGTCAACTTTTTTTTAATACTCCTGCAATCTAGTAGCCTCCAGAAAGGACTCCTCTCATTTACAAAGCATAGGACAGGACAATGGCAGCACAATGTCACTACTGTCGAGACCGGTTATAACGAAGTCGGTTATAACGAAATAGCAACTATAGCGAAGCAATCACGATTTCCCATTCCCTTCTGCACTTCGTTAACCAAAGTCGGTTATAACGAAATAACGGGTATTGCGAAGTGATTTCCAATTCCCGTTGACTTCGTTATAACCGGTCTCGACAGTACTTTCTGAAATGGTATACCATTTCACGGTCACCCACGACTCACCTAAGTTGAGAACTCCCATTAGTATCTGGATGATGCCCGAGAGGAAGGTTAGAATGACAGCGTACGTTGGTCCCCCATGCTTCACATACTCCGCAGTCATGATGGACATGATGGCCGTCGGTCCTATCGTCAGGTCCTTACAGCTCCCGAAGATGGCGTACATGAAGCCACCCATGAATGCTGTGTACAGGCCGTACTGGAAAAAACATGGTACGTACAACGCTGAAGCAAACGATCCCCCGATTCAGACTGGCGGCAGAATTTAAGTGGGCGTCACTTGGCCGAGTTACTTTGTTAATGATGTCAACGGCATATGCATCATTAACTACGGCCCAGTCCCGCCAGGGCGATGAATGGCAAAGATGGTCTGATGACAAAACAAAGTCGGCTTTTTACCGACCCAGCAACCTTTCACAGCACTGCTTGTTTACAACTTACACTCCCCATTGTTGCTAGCTGGTTACATTCAAACGTAATAAAGATTGCGAAGGCTCACTTCAGACGAGACAACTTCCCAGCAATTTCAGTGTTGCTGGCAAGTTGTTCCCTAGCTTTAACTAGTGTGACATGAATTGCTCGGGTCACGTCCGGCTAGAAACGGATGAGCAACTTGGACAAGTTCAAAGTGGCAGCAGCCAATCAGGGATGCAATATTTTCACGCGACACCCCAATGATGATGACAACTAAAGACTTGATTCTGGTTTTAAATTGATCGTTTTTGGGAATAAACCGTTTCAGAAAGACGAGTTAGTATTCACAATGCCATTTAAAGATATAAAGACACATTTAGAGCGCGTAACTGTGTGTCTAGATAGTGCACAGAAAAAATTTTATTTAACGACGACGGCAAATTGCAGCATTTGGTTGCTGCGTGTGCGCACCCATGTTGCTGGTGTTGCGACGTCAAGTTACTGAAAAAAATTGACCCGTCTGAGGCTGCCCTAGCAATGTGCACTTGACGTGTCTGCAAGCTTTATTTTGCACAGCAGGACAGTGCCATCTTGACTCTCGCCGTTTCCTCCACATTCCCCCGACACCTCTCCAACTTTCTCCCCAAACCTCAATGTTTTCCCTCAAGTTCTCCGACAGTTCCTCGGCTTTCCCGACCATTACTCACTCTCAATGTTTTCGTCAGATTCTCCAACGCTCCCCACATCGCATTTCCGCAGATCCCCAGACGCTTCCCCAGTTTTCCCCCAACTATCTTCCCTCTACACTTCACACATTTTCACGAATTCCCCAACACCTCCCCATCCTTCCGCCATCTTTCCCAATGCATATTCCTGAAACGTCTTCCCAAACTCTTGCATTTCCCCAAATTTCCTGAAACCTGCCAAAGTATCCCTAACTTTTCCCTCCACATTTTCAAAGCCTTCCCTAAATTCCACAAATGTTACCTAGAAAATCAAACTCCCCGAAAACATCCGGCATTACCCGTTATACTCCCCGACAAGCTGAGAACGGAAAAGAGGAGCTTCAGTTGTTCTGGCTCCAGCGCGAGCTTCCTAACTTGGACAACACTTCATCTAGTAAACCTCGAGGTCATGCGCAGCCAAGGCAACGTGCAAGGCCCGGAGCGCACGCTAGAGGCCAAGCGTTCGATTGACATTCCCTGTCGTTCTCTTTCTGTCGGCTACTACAGTAGGCGCATTAGGAAGTGCCAAGAGAACCACGAAACGAAAAACAGGGCGGCCCCCTCACCTCTATGGGGAGCTTTGCGAGGTCCGCCAGTGCCAGTCCCTGGGGGATGACGGTGAGGGCCACAGTCATGCCGGCCACAAAGTCCCCGTGGAGGTCCAGCAGGGAGTACTTGGGCAGCCATTTCACAATGGGCACCCTGTCTTTCCACCGCCGCACTGAGCAGCAGCGGTCCCGCGCCGTTCCACAGAGGGCGCCACAAGTGAACCCCTCTGACTCATTGGCCCCCTCGTTGTCGGTCGAGTCGTCGTTAAGGCGGTCGTCTGCATGCACAGGAAAAAAATAATGTATCAGCGAGGGGACGCGAGACGTCAGGGACACTGTAAAATACCTCCATGCTTTGTTAGAATAGCAACAATAAGGTAACCTGTGGTTAAAAAAGAACAAGTGTCACTGTGGTATCTCGGAATGCCGCCGAAAAGGTTACTAGTAAAGTTTTGCTGCCAGACCTTAGCCAACAGACTTTTCTTACCACTTTTGTTAACAAATTTTTGTTACCAATTTTTGTTAACAAATTTCGACACCGTATTTTGTTAACTTTTTAACAACTGTTTACAAACATTTGTCAATTTTTGTTAACACTCTTAAGATTTTATTAACGCTTTATGAGCAGACTGTTAAGAGAGTTGCACATTTATGAACAGATTGTAAGCAGACTCGTTTATGTCTTATGAAAAGTAATTTGCTTACAAACTTTTGCAGATATACTTTTGCCAAGAGATTTTCGTAAGTCTGCCAAGGACGTGAGCGCACAGTTCTGAGGGGCTTCAAAAAACAAGCTTACACGATTCCTCCAACCAGTCCCAACTGCTCTAGGGCCACATTTTCACTCCGTACACGACTTTCTTAGGAAGTCGTAGATGCTAGACACTGAAACTGTTGGTTTTGTCAGGTGTGTTAAGCATGTGCCGCTGACACAGTGGCACGTACCTAAATTCCTCAAAAGCAATACTGCTGAAGCGTATATTGCTGAAGAGAGCGGTATTTCCACACAGCTCTTAGACACTTCATGTTGCCCTGATTGTTCCTTTCCATCAAGCATTGATAACTGGAGTATATGGGGGGAAAAATGGACAAAGTCATATAAAAAATAATTGTCGAAAAAATTGAATAATCCAGCTTCCAGAGATATCAACATTTCTGGTCTTGAAGACTAAAATCATAACACATTATACAAAAGGTGCACGGTATCAATTGCTCGAAATACAAAAACAAGGGTGAATGCCATAAAACTGCCTAAAACGACATCCGAGACAAGTGAGGTTAGCTCAAACCAAAAAAAATAATAGTTCAGATTTCTCCTGCTTACAATCTAGAGATCAAAAAACTTACACAAAATCCAATTAACTGATTAATAGCAACCAATGGTTAGTAATCAACCCATATGAGCCACCGACCCTTAAACAAGAATGAAAAAGACCATCGTAGATATCACAAAGAGAGACCCCATAATGAAGTTGTCACCAAAACGACCAGCAATGTATAAAATTAACCCAATTCTTAGAGGGCATACAGCACTAAGGAAAAGACAACTTAAAACCTCCCAATTTTTCAGCGGGCATCCGACACTAAGGAGAAGACAAATGAAAACCTATTTGTAGAGATCAGTAAACAATGACCTCTCTTGGAGTAGTGTCTCAGTTTGAAGAGTTCATCTGGTTTCAACAGAGGGCGTAGCTCCGACTTGTGGTCCAAATCAATCATGGAGACTCAACAAAATTAATATCCCCCCACGGTGGTTCAACGCAGATTTCAAGTAGCTTTGATGCTTCCACACAGGATCAGTTTCCTTCAACGTTGCACCGGCGCATTTCAAAAATTTGTCGACAGACCGTGACCTCGAATCCGTCATTCAACGTACTTGGTGATCGACAGCACTATTTCAATTTGGACAAGTCTTGCCTTCAGCTGTACCTGCCTTAGTGCATTACTTTGTTGCCTCAACACATTCTGACATTGTCTTATATACGCCGAAAAAGCCTCAACACGCTCGAACGTCGCCTCAACAAATTTCGAGGCTGCCTGAACGCGATTCAATGTCACTCGAATCGCAACGGCGTTGGCCAACACCCCTCAGACGCTGCCTCGACGTTTCTCAAGAGTACCTCGACAAACGTTTGAACAACACCACAATGTTGCCTTAGCCCGCTTCGGTGTCGCTCAAAGTTCGCCAACGTTTCTCGACACACTCAAGCGTCGCCGTGTCACATCACAATGTCGCTTCAACGTCCCCCGACGACACCTTGCTGATACACTTAAACCTTGACACCTCTCGGAAACGGCGTCGGCATGCTCCGATGTATCCCTGTGCTGCGTCCCAAGCTCGCTGATCGACAGGCACACCGTACTTGCCGAGCGACCGCAAACCAGAGTTGTCAAACAACGATCCAGTCGGGAAATAAACGTTTGCTCGACAATCTTCGGCGAAAGATAACGCCCCCATTGTTCGCACGTGACCTTCCAAACCCGTATCACAGGAGAGGTGCACGATGAAGCCAAGATAGGGAAGAGATAGGCGTGCTTTGATTCTTTACCGTTTGCTTCCCCAAGTTTTTAGTCTTCATTTCCACCTTTCTGGTCGTCGAAATGTTGGAATGCCGGAGATGAAGAGGTGCGGTATGATGAATAATTAGTTATAATATTGCCGTTCGCGACTCCGGCGACCTAGAGAGGCTGGTACAATCGGGCAGATATGGCAGTCTAAAACAGGTCGGGCCATGCTGTGTGCAAGCTCCAAGCACAACGCTCCAGCTTTGGCAGGCAAGCATTGGACTTGAAATGGTTCACCCCGATTTTTATTCACTAAGTTTCGAACCTGCGGCGATGTGTTGGCACAAGCAAGCTTCCAGACGTTTGACCATCTTTCGGGCAGCGACGGAAGGACGGCAGTGCTAATGGACGCTGATAAATGCACAGTCCCTGGTTCACGCAGTAGCAAAGGTTGCATTCAGAGCGACCTGGACAACAAGCTGATACGACAGTAACAAATTAGTCACCAGGACAACCGTGCCAATCACTGGCAACCGCCAAAAGCCGCACCAACTGCCGAAGACATGTAATCACGGAAGCCACAAGGGACAGGCAGAAATCTCGAAGGGACCTGTTACGTTCAGTTCAGTGTTTTTCTACTTGGTGCCTTTCATCTTGCTGGAGTCGCGAATAATTGTTGCTTTAGAATTAAAACCGTTGTTCCCAAAAAGCCAGTACCCCCATTTGTGCATCCATGAGATATGCTTCAATCCGGCCCTCATTACACCTCTTTTCACATTGCCATCTTTGGGATGTGGCATTCTCCATTTGCGACAACACTCAAATGCTCGAAGAAAAACCAGCATGTTAGCCACCATGTTGAGAGCTGGTTTTATGCAACAATTACATGCCCAATAAGCTTCAACAAGCATTGAATTCTTAGGAAACACCATTCTGACCAAGTTCCCAAATATAAAAAGAGCCCCCAGTTCCAAGGAAATCCCAACGATATTCAGGCTTGAGATTAGATGTGCAACTGGTCTTGCAGATGTTCCTGAAATCTCAAGTCAAAGCTGATAAGACGAAGCCCTTTTATGCATTCTAGTGGTTAGCAATCTAATCAGCTCCAAACACTCCAAGATAAACCTCTATCCAATGGAGGTTTATCTTGTTTGTTGGTTTTCTGTCTGTATTTTTAGTACCAGGGACCCACTCTTCAGAGCATTTGGCTCCCATCCAGTTTTTGAAATGCCTTAAAAATTCGCTGGCACATATAAATGACTAAACAAAAAAAAAATTTCTATGACAGATTTCTGTGTTGTAAGCATGAACCCTCGTTATAATGAATACATCTTGGAGCTCCCAACACAGACAAAATTTAAGATTAAAATTAACAATAGTTTGCGAGACAAGTTCAGAAAAATTCTTTAAAAATACGGCCATCCATAGCCTTTGAATTAATAAAAAAAAATAAAGGTCCTCTAGATTCAATAGAACACAAAACCTTCGGATAACTCTGCTGTACGGGAGGAATTAAAAAGGAATATCATTCGTTGCAACCTTTTAATGGGTGTCATTTTACATTGGCCACCCTAGAAAAGTTCAATATATAAAGTTCTTAGCAAAGCCTATTGATAAGCAGGACTTTAAATAATATACGCACTCAATATTTGTGTTTGACATAACCGTTCCACCCAACTATCTCGCATATTTTTAACGTTAGCCAGCCACATATATAAATTAATGAAACACGTAGCACAAACAAAAATAAGCAGTTCACTCTTTTTTTTAGAACTAAAAGGCTGCCCCTAAATCGACTGGCCTAATAAAGCATACACATCTGGAACACTGACATAAGCACTAGCACCGGATGTTTGTCACTACCCTGTTTTAGTGGAACCCAAAGAAGCTCCAATGTCAGATTCATGCAACTGCATCGTCTGGGATGCATTCTGAAGCATACTAGAAATTCAAGAAAACAATTTTTTCATAAGCAACATATCTGAGACACAAAAAGTATCTTCAACCTTCCGTGAAAACAAAAATATAATCTGAGGTACAACTTAACGCCACCAGAAAAAGAATACACCCGGTCAGCTCAGTCAGTACCAGAGAATCCAACCGACAACGGCCTCCCGGCAAACTCTGAGCTTCCAATAGCGCGCCATGAAAAGGAGAACGAGCACAACTGGTGACTGACGGAAGAGGAAAGAGCACAAAACTGTTGACCAACAGGAGTACCTGGACATTCGATATCCGTCCGCACTTTCGTGTAGCCGTTATCGGCGGGCATGTTGACACGGACGGACGCTTGGGTGTCCAAACGACGACGCCAGGCAAACGACTGAGAACACTGCTCAAACGAAAGAGGTCGAACGGGCAAACGCTGATGACGTCCGCCCTATTTGTCTCGCCGCACCAGCACCCGCCTTATCAAACAATGAGCGAACAAGAACTAGGGACGCAGCTTTTTCCTTCTGCGGCTATCGCCTGGACCATCGGTAGATCTGATGCAGCTCACGATAAGACGTGCGACTCTCGTGACGAAAGTAGGATAGCATTTATCCGTGGCATAGATTAGCTTATGGGGGGGGTTGGCCATGAAGCTGGGTCACCACCCCTTTAGATTAGTATGCCGCACTGTGTAACTTTCAACGTCAACTAAAGAGTGGCGGAGTTTGATTCTGAAAACCCCTCTCTGCGTACACCACTGGCATCCACAGAGGTACTGCCAAGATTAAACAGCCTGATCAGTTCGTTCTGCCCGTTAGCTGAAGCAATTATACGGCATCAC